GTAGGAAATAGGGTGCCATTTGGGACACATTTTTGTACTGACACCAGACAGCCACAGCTTGTGGGCAATGGTCAGAAAATGTACTTCTCTTATAGGCTTGAGTTTGGTCACCTCAACATGACCAAACTTCTTGATTCCCTTTTGGGGGAAATTCAGAGGGATGTATGGGGGATGAAAGAAAGCAGAGCCCACTGGGTAAAAACTGGTCGAATCAACGTTGTTTCCACGTAACTTCAACCCCCCAAAAATGTGATAACGTTGAATCAACATGAGAAAATTATTTAGATTTTTCAAAAAGTCATCAACGTAAGAGCATTTCGTATTTTTTTCACCCAACTTTTAACCTAAATCCAATGACATGGTGATTTTTTGTTGTTGTTGATTTCACGTTGAATTCACATTAGTTAAAAACTCAACCAAATGTAAATCAAAACTAGACGTTGAACTGACGTCTGTGCCCAGTGGGTGGGGTGCTGCTGCTTACTCAATCCGGAAGTAAATATGGGTGGAAGGTGAAAGTCTGTAAAATGTTGCCTTGGATCCCCACCCAGTGGCTGTTTATGCTCCAGGACCTGCTGCCAAGCTGTGAGGTCATGCTGAAGGAAGGTCCTTACAGATGGAGGACCGGATCCACCCACAGATAGAGGGGTTAGAATGAATAGACTCTGGTAAATCCCACACGCCCACTCTGTTTATTATGGATACGAGGAACACAGTCTACATGGAGCCTGGCTGGTCATTCTGTGTTGCAGCTTTCCACTTTCTATTTACATTTAAGTCATTTAGCAGACACTCTTATCCAGAGCTACTTAAAAACTATTGTTTTTAGTTTTTATAAACAAACAAGATACATACATACATACATACATACATACATACATACATACATACAGTTGAAGTCGGAGGTTTACATACACTTAGGTTGGAGTCATTAAAACTAGTTTTTCAACCACTCCACAAATGTATTGTTAACAAACTATAGTTTTGGCAAGTCGGTTAGGACATCTACTTTGTGCATGACACAAGTCATTTTTCCAACAATTGTTTACAGACCGATTATTTCACTTATAATTCACTGTATCACAATTCCAGTGGGTCAGAAGTTGACATACACTAAGTTGACTGTGCCTTTAAACAGCTTGGAAAATTCCATAAAATGATGTCATGGCTACCACGTTCATCTGTACAAACAATAGTACGCAAGTATAAACACCATGGGACCATGCAGCCGTCATACCGCTCAGGAAGGAGATGCGTTCTGTCTCCTAGAGATGAACGTACTTTGGTACGAAAAGTGCAAATCAATCCCAGAACAACAGCAAAGGACCTTGTGAAGATGCTGGAGGAAACAGGTACAAAAGTCGACATAACCTGAAAGGCTGCTCAGCAAGGAAGAAGCCACTGCTCCAAAACAGCCATAAAAAAGCTAGACTACGGTTTGCAACTGCACATGGGGACAAAGATCATACTTTTTGGAGAAATGTCCTCTGGTCTGATGAAACAAAAATAGAACTGTTTTGCCATAATGAACATCGTTATGTTTGGGGGAAAAAGGGGGTTGCTTGCAAGCCGAAGAACACCATCACAACCGTGAAGCACGGGGGTGGCAGCATCATGCTGTGGAGGTGCTTTGCTGCAGGTGGGACTGGTGCACTTCACAAAATAGATGGCATCACGAGGAAGGAAAATTATGTGGATACATTGAAGCAACATCTCAAGACATCAGTCAGGAAGTTAAAGCTTGGTCGCAAATGGGTCTCTCAAATGGACAATGACCCCAAGTATACTTCCAAAGTTGTGGCAAAATGGCTTAAGGACAACAAAGTCAAGGTATTGGAGTGGCCATCAGAAAGCCCTGACCTCAATCCTCTAGAAAATGTGTGGGCAGAACTGAAAAAGCGTGTGCGAGCAAGGAGGCCTACAAACCTGACTCAGTTACACCAGCTCTGTCAGGAGGAATGTGCCAAAATTCACCCAACTTATTGTGGGAAGCTTGTGGAAGGCTACCCAAAATGTTTGACCCAAGTTAAACAGTTTAAAGGCAATGCTACCAAATAGTAATTGAGTGTATGTAAATTTCTGACCCACTTGGAATGTGATGAAAGAAATAAAAGCTGAAATAAATCATTCTCTCTACTATTATTCTGACATTTCACATTCTAAAAATAAAGTGGTGATCCTAACTGACCTAAGACAGGGGAATTTTGACTAGGATTAAATGTCAGGAATTGTGAAAAACAGAGTTTAAATGTATTTGGCTAAGGTGTATGTAAACTTCCGACTTCAACTGCACAGACACAGACAGACAGACACGTACAGACGTACATACATACATAAACAACCAAACATCAACAGCCAAACATCAACAGCCAAACATCAACATGCCTTTCCTGTCTTTATCCCCACCCACCCCATCCCCTCCAGAGGTAGGCAGGTCTATAGCCTAAAGCCCTCAAACTCAACTCTGGACCTCAAAGCCAGTTCCACTGCATTTTCTTCATTGTTCCCCTCTAATCAGGGACTGATTTAGACCTGGGACACCAGGTGGGTGCAATTAATTATCAGGTAGAACAGAAAACCAGCAGGCTCCGGACCTCATAGTTTAAGAGTTGAATACCTCTGGCCTAAAGTCTATGAAATGGCCAATAGACCTACTGAATTATGTAATTCAAGGGTAGGCAACCCTGTTCCTGGAGTGCCGCAGGTATTGCAAGATTTTGTTCCATCTAAGCACCATATCTGACCAACTGAGCTAATTGATCAGTTCAGTGATTGCCTAAATTCAACACACCCGGTCTTCCAGGTCAGTTAAATCAAAATGTATGAAGTACCTGTGACAGTCCAGGACCAGGGTTGCCTACCCCTGATGTAGGTGCCTACATAGCAACTCAAAGAATAAGAAAAGAAAACAATGGAATGGAGATGCGTCGAAGTATTACAGGTCATTCTTATTGTTCATAAGATTCATATGGAGCATAATCCTTTCTGCCCAAAATACAGTTTTTGTATCCCAAATGGCACCCCAGTCCCGATTTAGTGCACTGCTTTTTACCAGTGTCCTATGCACCCTGGTCAAAAGTTGTGCACTATACAGGGAATAGGATGCCATTTGGGATGCATCCCTTATTCCCAAGGGTAGCTGTAAGGGGTGTAATGCTGCCACCAGGAGGCGCCTGAAGTTCTTCAACTTCAAGTCCCCAAGTCATCCTCAAGCTTTGGTTACTGCCTTGTGTCATCTTTGAGCTTCCAGCACTTTCAATTGTATTATTTATAGAATACATGATTGTTGGTATACATGCGATCACTTTTATGAAAAAGTACTGTTTTGTTATTGTCTTTTCATACTAGCACTGACTGCTGATAAATACTTTTGAGGGAAAATGTACTTGGTACGATTGTAAAATGTTGTTGCCCCACCTATCTATCTTAAGATGAATAAGACAAAAAAATGTAAAAGTTTGATTTCTATAGAACGCCAACCAATATTATGGTGACTGAATATTGCCTTAGAATAACAGGCTTATGCAGCACATAAGGTAAAGGGTCTGATAGCTCATGAAATGGCCTGATTAGCACATGGCATCCATGGTTCTCTATATAAAAGTCATTGAAATAAAACAGTGAATTAACAGTAAATTGCCTAACCCAATGTTCTGTCACTAATACAGTGGCCTGACTAGAAACTGATCGCACAGCTCAAGTACTCTTATGTGAGCCAAGTCTCTCATAATCAGCACCATTCTGAACCCATAAAGACCAATAGGTTCGAACTCAGAGGGTTTTTCTGTAATAGAAAATAAATCACCAAGTCTATTACAAAGATGGAACATCTTTCACGGCTTTTGCTGGAGGTTTTATCTCATAACAAAGCGACAAAAAACAGGGATCGATTTTTTTAAAATGTGATTAAACTTAAGAACAATCTTGTCTGAAATGCGTATTTTTGTTGTTGACAAAAGCGAGGAGTGGAAACTTCAAAGTAGCAATTTGCATACAACTATTGGAACATTTTCATTCCTTCTAAATCCTTCTTAATGCTTCCTCCATTTCTGGTCCATGGGTGTTCAATTGGATTTGAAGAATTGTGTCACTGTCTGCCTCCTTCCCAACACTAGCATCCTGTGACCCCCAACTAAGGACAGGGAGATAGCCACGACCAGATATATAGTGTATTTATGACATCATCTCTGATACCACATCCTCAGTAATGGATGATTTACCCTGGACTCCTAATAGAGAACCTGCCAGACATATTACATTAATACTATTTATATCTAGCAGTTACCTTTGACTTCCATAAATATTTATTGCAGCCAAATCACAGAGCTACACATTTTCTTTAATAGGATGATTGAATAATGTGAAAAAGCACAGGATGGGTACAACGGAGTGGATGACAAAAAAAGGCTACTAGGTTGTTTTATGAAACTCCACATGAGAAGATTTATTAAACTTTTGTAATATCTTAGATGGTACGGAACAACACTGAAAACAAGAAAAATATGCCTGTGTACTGATTCTGCAGCCCAAACTAATATTTACACATCAAATCAAAATGCATGAGCGTGAACAGAACACGTTATTACTTTTCTATTGAGTTTGTTTCTCAACGGAAATTTGCAAGTTAGGGTTCATGTCAAAACAACAAAATAGATTGGAAATGTCATGTTATTGTATAATGGGTGGGAATGTACCTGCAGTTGTGTCAGTGTTATGTATCACAGATTACATTGTTGTGTTGACTTATTCCCATACTGTATATACAGACTCTGGTGAAGAGGTTAATGTTAATATAGTTTGTTGACTTCCTTCTAAGCCCAGCAAAGTAATGAATGTGCTGCCATAACGCTCTCCATCTATTTAGTGGGGCAGCAGGTACACTAGTGGTTAAGAGCATTGGGCCCGTAACCGAAAGGTCGCTGGTTTGAATCCCTGAGCCGACCTAGTGAAAAATCTGTTGATGTGCCCTTGAGCAAGGCACTTAACCTTAATTTCTCCAGTAAATTGCTTTGGATAAGAGCATATGTAAAATGTAGTGGTTACTACCTTCCTTTAGACCGGCTGTTCTGAAGGGGCTGAAAATGACCAAACTACCCAGTCAAAGCAAGATAAGAGGAGAAAGTGAAAGTTTTAGGGGAGAAAGGAAGCGGGATAGGTAAAGAAACAGGAGAAAGTGTTCTGCTGAAGTATCAAGCCTTTGGATGAGAAGGGGCAAGGTGACGAATGCAAGCATACATGGGGGGGGAAAAAGAGGACCCAGAGGAAAATGCAGAAGTGTTGACACACATTCAGTTCTTTTTCCTACTTAGTAACAGGATTATAGTTAGAGGCTAAGTGGAATTTCAGGACAAATGGGAGAAAAACGACTGAGTCCTGTACAGACTCATTTCTGAGTTATTTATTATATCCATTATGTCATGCTGCAAAAACTTCATATAAAGCTAACCAAAGGTTTTTGTTCAAATGTACTATGTTGAAAACACAAAAAAATACATTCATTATTTTGCTAATATTGCTTAACAATCTAAACAGTGCCTCAGTAATACTTAATCATAAATGGTAGAAAACAGTAAACAGTTAAAGTATAAACAGTATTTAAAAAAATCTAAAATAACAATATATTTTTTATATTGTATGATAGTTGCCATGATAAATGTATACTACAATACAAACTGTCTTGAGAAACCTACTCAGCAAAAATATTGCTGGTGTAGGTTGATTCACATTTGATTGATTGGTTCGCTATTTTCAACTGTGCATCACAGTTAATCATTACAGAAAAATGCAGTGCAAGTAGCAAGCCAATTCTGGTGCAGTAAAAAAAACATACAATTCAACATTTCAATGTCTGTTCATTTACGGTCAATTCATGTGACCCTTTGAATAAAAATCACTGAATCAAATTGTTGACCATTTTAATACCTCTATTAGACTTTATTCTAATACGTTTTCTGGCGGTTGTTCTCATCATGCCTGCTCTTCTGCCTTTGTTTTTGGTTATCCATGGTTTCCCATCTGAAACAAAGAAAATTACATATCATCATATAGGTTATTATTACATCACAGTAAGGTCCAGAATGTTCGGTTTGCCTGCTGGGGGGCAGGGAAACACTCAGCTCTGCTAAAACCATCTAAAACTATTGAAAACTATGTGCAGATTAACCTAAACCACACATACTGCTCAGTTATAGCACACTTTTATTTTGTATTACTCAGATATACAATTAATGTGGCCAATATTGAGAGATTAAGATGTAAAGCAGCTGTTTTTGGACGCTGTACTTCATTGAAAGCTGGCCGCGCTTGATCCCCAGTTAGAAATTGACAAAGACATAAAGCATGTTTCTTATAATCTGATCCATAGATAGCCAGCATTCCAGTCACACAATGACCTTAAACACAACCTGTCTATAATCTGCCACATTTCAATTATTACTGGGATACTAAAAATATATACAGTGAGTTAGCTTGCGTTAACGAAAAGCCCTGTAGCCATTACTGCAATTATGGGGAACATGCAAATGGTTGTTCGGCTGACAGATGTAATAAGTCTTATTCATTATATTCAACAACACCCCCTCCCTTCCCCCCCAGTTTTATCTTCAGATAAACAAAGAATAGAGGATACTATGTGTGTGTGTGTGTGTGTGTTGGGAGGTTCACATGCATACTTACGTGTGTGCCCGTGTGTGTGTGTGTGTGTGTGTGTGTGCGCATCATGACCATTATCATACCTTTAGCACAGACGTCCATGCAGCTTTGTCTGGATATAAAGTTGTTGCTGCTTCCTCCACAGCCTGAATAGATGAACTGCTCACACATCCTGGAGGCTGAGTTGTAGTAGTAACGCGGTACAGATGCAGCACAGCCTCCTTTATCCAGGGGATCCAGGCAGAGCACAGGAGTAGCTGGCAATCACACAAAACAACTATAAGAACTCTGGGAGAGAGTAGGTTACTCTTCAGCCAACATTAACCAAGACGCTCATCTTTGGTAGCCTGGGTGCCAGCCTGTTTCTGATCTCTCGCCAACTCCTTATGGAATTGTAAATAATAATAATTAATAGGTCATTTAGCAGACGCTCTTATCCAGAGCGACTTACAGGAGCAAATAGGGTTAAGTGCCTTGCTCAAGGGCACATCGACAGATTTTTCACCTAGTCGGCTCGGGGATTAGAACCAGCGACCTTTCGGTTACTGGCACAATGCTCTTAACCACTAAGCTACCTGCCGCTCCTTGTCATTCCAAACATGACAAGGAGTGTCCAGGAGTGGAACAGCTAAACAGACGGGTACCCAGGCTACATCTCTGGTTTCTTAATAATGTAAGTAGATATAAAATTGAGAGAGGGTACCGGATGGAATCATTTCAGAATAATATTGTCTAAGAAAAACAGGACAATAAGAAGAGAGTAGGCTACTCTTCAGCTGAGAGGCTCATCTCCGGCTTCTGAACATAAACAGACGTACAACTGAGAGAAGTCTGTATAGAGGGCTGTATGCAATAATGTCAAGAAAATGTAGGAGAAAATTAAGGCACTCGCATACTGTGAGACCCTTGAGTATAGTATTGATAGAGGAGACTGTTACGAGCGTCAGGGTTGGTCCTTTTGTACTGGTCTTTCTATCTAGTTTGAGTATAGTAGTGATCAGTGGAGGCTGCTGAGGGGAGGATGGCTCATAATAATGGCTGGAATGGAGCAAATGGAATGGCATCAAACACATGGAAACCATGTTCAATGTATTTGGTACCATTCCACCTATTCCGCTCCAATTAGGGTGCCACCAACCTCCTGTGGTATTGATAGAGGAGACTGTTAGAGCATCAGGGTTGGTCCTTTAGTACTGGTCCTTCTATCTAGTTTCATTTCCTGATTACTCATCAACTATTGCAAGTCCTCATGGCTAGGATGTGATGAGGATGTAGGTGTTTGCAATTAAATTGCCAAATTTCATGAAAAAGCTTCCTCTAATCTTGTTTCTACATCATTCCTCATGTAATTATTGTGAGCTAAGTTAAAGATGTTTCCTCAAAAGTAATACAAAGTTAATAACACAACAGAGTGAACACAGTAGAGTCCGAAACGTAGAATATGGTTTAACTAGCATTGTTTATGGAATAAGCCTATGTGCTCAACACTGGATGTGGAAATGTTTTATCTGTTGTGCTTCACGGCTAATCGAAAACAGCCAGACTGTTGACCTTGACTATTGTCCACATACTTTTGTGTGGTCTGCAGTACTCCATGCAAGACATCTGGTCCTGGAAGCGGTTCTCGTTGCCCTGGCAGCCTCCGTAGAAGAACTGCTCACACTGCATGGTGGTCATGTTGAAAAAGTAGCTCAAGAACATGGCCCGGCAGGGACCCACCTTTTTCTGGAACCTGCAGATCTGAGGGATCTCTGGTGGGGTGGAGAAGTTGAGAAGAAACACGTTTGAATAGGAACTATTGAAAAATGAAACCGGTCACATTGTATGGCCTTTTATCCTGAATTGGTTTGGATGAATTGACAGTCCATTTCAAAACTTCACAACCACAAAACTTTTCAAAAGTGCTGTAGGCCAAATGTTTCATAAAATTCATGATTTTATAATTGTTTTGATGACATAAGATAAATGGCATATAGTCTAAATAAATAAATAAATAAAAACAACAACCAAAAACTGAGCGTGACTGAGCGTGACAGAAACAGACCTATATAAAATGTAAATAAAAACTTACTTGGTATTCTAAAACATGCTTTCTGACACTCCTGAAAACTCATGAAGTTGTTTGCATTCCCTTGGCAGCCTCCATAGAGAAACTCCTCGCATTGTTGAGTGATAGTATTGTAGTAGTAACGCTGGATATCTTCTCCGCAAGGTCCCTCATCTACTTGAAGTAGACACACCTCTGGAACGAGCAGAAACACACAACATCAACACTACTGCTGGCTACAGAACGAGGTCAAGGAATGTCTGCTGAAGTACAGATTCATGTCAACAACAACTTTATCACTACTGAAAAGTCATGAGCCAACGCCCATCGATTGATTATGATTGCAAAGTATTTTGGTGCGTCGAGAAAATCGAATAAAATATTAATGTGGCTATAACCAGTTACGGTATTAAGAATACAGTTAATACATGATAACCGAATTTTTCTTTACCTTGTTTCGGTGACAATGCAAAAACGTAACAAAGCGAGCATGAAAGTATCAGAAAAATCAATGAACTGAGGTCCATTGTTGTAGATCTTCCCCAAGTTCAATTCTTCTAACTTTACGCACAATCAGTACAGCCATTTATACTCTTGTACACGCGTTCACAAGGGGCTCGAGGGGCGGGCTATAATGCCTCATTTCCACGTAGTAGGAACGATCTGATTAATGTTATGATTTGCATCATAGGCAACGTCACGTTTATACACTGTTAAACTAATTATGCAATATGTCAAACGTCCTTCATCGTGCGCAATGGATACGGTCCAATCATTGACGTGGAAATAGACAATAAGAAATGTAGGCTAGTCTGGGAACGAAACTACTATGGGAATATCATGAGAATAATGATTTGTTAACAGATCTATGACCATATATGTAATGTTGTCAACTGCTGTCGTTGGAGTAGATACACAACATATGACAATGTTTATTTTTGTTTTTCCTTTTCTTTGCAGTGTGGTTTCTAGTAATTAATTATTACAAATTATTAGATCTAGAACTCGACAATGTATTTATTAATGTGGGCCATAGGCTTCTAATGTTCTATTCAGAGTTCATGTATTAGGCCTACATCTAATTCAGATGAATGAAATTGATTTACAGTATGTGTGTGAATAGTCCACATACTCACTACAAAATATTGCCTTGTATCTAAGGAAGTGATACAGTATAAAACATTAACACATTGAGCTTCTGTCATTCTTTCTTATGTCATAGTCCCCATCACATCTGGCTGTTTCCCATTAAGCAACAATAACTGTCACAACTTTGGGCATCCATGCAGGATCAGCTTAATATTGCAGATAGATTGTAACTTCCATCAATGTAATTGTCTGCATCACTTCCAATCCCCCATGTTATATATATATATATATATATATATACACACACATACATATATACACACATACATATATACACACATACATATATACACACATACATATATACACACACATACATATCCTTAAAAATATATATATTCCCCTTTATTACTTTCCAACCCCGCCACCCTTTCCCTACTTGGAGTAAACTAGTGAACAACAATGCTTAGGCCTCTACTTCCAGCTTATACTTACTATCTACATTTTATGGACACCGTCAATTTTACAAGAATTATATTTTGTTTGCCTTGGTGAACTCTATAAGCTAGTCTCTTTACATCAGTAGAAATGTCAACCGGTGGGAGCTCTAAAAGAAGGTATAAAGATACATGTTTCAACAAGGACCAACTCAGTGGCCTTGTGGTTAGTGTCCACCCTGAGATCGGAAGACTGTAAACATGGGACCCAATGCCTCTCTGCTTGGCACTCAGCATTAAGGAGATAGATTGGGGGTAACACCTCGATCACACCGGCAGCGTCATTGCATTTTGGTACGCCAGAAGCACAGTACATTCATTTCCAATGGAACGCTGTGTTTGTCTTGCAGCATTGCATTGCAGAGGCAGTTGCAATGAGTCCTGTGTTGGATTTATCGAACGTATGCATCAAACTGTATGCGTAGACGGCTTGACAGGAATGGTAGCAGAAGGTGAATGTTGAACTTTTGTTGCACACATATCCAGATGATGCTGCGTACCATTTCGCGCAATGACGCTGTCGGTGTGATCAAGGCGTAAGGCCCTGCGATAGACTAGCGTTCTGTCCAGGGGGTGTACATGTACATCAAACTGCCTCACGCTATGAGTCGTTCCGGCTTGCACATGACAAGGCTCGTGCAAGGCTACTTTTCAACAAGGAGAGTAGAGTGAGGAAAGATAATATGAGCTGCAGAGCACGAAACATGTTTGAATTCATTGTCAGTATTGTTTTGTTAACAGCATGAATGAATGGAAACATACATTTAGGCAGCGCAAAAAGAATATGGGCTAGACTGTGAATTATCCCCAGTTCAGGTGTAGGATCTTAATTTGACCACCCTGTTGCAGGATAGATACAGTGGGGGAAAAAAGTATTTAGTCAGCCACCAATTGTGCAAGTTCTCCCACTTAAAAAGATGAGAGAGGCCTGTAATTTTCATCATAGGTACACGTCAACTATGACAGACAAATTTAGAATTTTTTTCCAGAAAATCACATTGTAGGATTTTTAATGAATTTATTTGCAAATTATGGTGGAAAATAAGTATTTGGTCACCTACAAACAAGCAAGATTTCTGGCTCTCACAGACCTGTAACTTCTTCTTTAAGAGGCTCCTCTGTCCTCCACTCGTTACCTGTATTAATGGCACCTGTTTGAACTTGTTATCAGTATAAAAGACACCTGTCCACAACCTCAAACAGTCACACTCCAAACTCCACTATGGCCAAGACCAAAGAGCTGTCAAAGGACACCAGAAACAAAATTGTAGACCTGCACCAGGCTGGGAAGACTGAATCTGCAATAGGTAAGCAGCTTGGTTTGAAGAAATCAACTGTGGGAGCAATTATTAGGAAATGGAAGACATACAAGACCACTGATAATCTCCCTTGATCTGGGGCTCCACGCAAGATCTCACCCCGTGGGGTCAAAATGATCACAAGAACGGTGAGCAAAAATCCCAGAACCACACGGGGGGACCTAGTGAATGACCTGCAGAGAGCTGGGACCAAAGTAACAAAGCCTACCATCAGTAACACACTACGCCACCAGGGACTCAAATCCTGCAGTGCCAGACGTGTCCCCCTGCTTAAGCCAGTACATGTCCAGGCCCGTCTGAAGTTTGCTAGAGTGCATTTGGATGATCCAGAAGAGGATTGGGAGAATGTCATATGGTCAGATGAAACCAAAATAGAACTTTTTGGTAAAAACTCAACTCGTCATGTTTGGAGGACAAAGAATGCTGAGTTGCATCCAAAGAACACCATACCTACTGTGAAGCATGGGGGTGGAAACATCATGCTTTGGGGCTGTTTTTCTGCAAAGGGACCAGGACGACTGATCCGTGTAAAGGAAAGAATGAATGGGGCCATGTATCGTGAGATTTTGAGTGAAAACCTCCTTCCATCAGCAAGGGCTTTGAAGATGAAACGTGGCTGGGTCTTTCAGCATGACAATGATCCCAAACACACCGCCCGGGCAACGAAGGAGTGGCTTCGTAAGAAGCATTTCAAGGTCCTGGAGTGGCCTAGCCAGTCTCCAGATCTCAACCCCATAGAAAATCTTTGGAGGGAGTTGAAAGTCCGTGTTGCCCAGCGACAGCCCCAAAACATCACTGCTCTAGAGGAGATCTGCATGGAGGAATGGGCCAAAATACCAGCAACAGTGTGTGAAAACCTTGTGAAGACTTACAGAAAACGTTTGACCTGTGTCATTGCCAACAAAGGGTATATAACAAAGTATTGAGAAACTTTTGTTATTGACCAAATACTTATTTTCCACCATAATTTGCAAATAAATTCATTAAAAATCCTACAATGTGATTTTCTGGAATCTTTTTTCTCATTTTGTCTGTCATAGTTGACGTGTACCTATGATGAAAATTACAGGCCTCTCTCATCTTTTTGAGTGGGAGAACTTGCACAATTGGTGGCTGACTAAATACTTTTTTTCCCCACTGTATATATATTATTATTTGTTGACTCGATTTTCCCTTACGAAAAATGTATCAACCCCTACAAAAATGTCCATTAATTATAATCCACCAGTGGAGGCTGTTGAGGGGAGGACGGTTCATAATAATGGCTGGAATGGAGTAACTGGAATGGTACCAAACACATCAAAGTTGTGGTTTCCATGTGGTTGACACCACTCCATTTACTCCATTCCAGCCATTATTATTAGCCGTCCTCCCCTCAGCAGCCTCCACTGTAATCCACATAATAATTCACATTTCCTGTTGCTGCAGTTTTCGTTTCCTGCTGTAGCAAACTGTCTTAAATTAAGATCCTACATCTGTACCTGACCTGTATTTGATAGAATATTGAATAGGAGCCTTTGTCAAAGAAGAGAGGCCTATTTCCTAATACATTTCAATTACATAAGTAGAGAACTAGTAGTAGAGAACAGCGAAAGGAGAAGGAAATGATTTCATAACATGAACTCATTCATTAATCATTTCAAGCCAAGGCCCTTTTCTCTCTGTGACTGACCTCTTGGCTAAACCTTGATCCCATCTATCTCAGTATATTGTAGAGAAGGCTATCATCCTTCAATAAAAATGAACTTCTCCACCCCATTCTCCCCATGGCACAATACTCTCCTTGTTTTCCCTCAACAGAATAATGTCTGACCGCCATAGAGAGCAATAATGGCGTCTTTGGGTTTTAAGGTTTGTGGTAAACACAGGCTTAGGAGATCTTATACATTTTGTTCAATTAATTAATTATGTAATTTATTTCACCTTTATTTAACCAGGTAAGCCAGTTGAGAACAAGTTCTCATTTGTGACCTGGCCAAGATAAAGCAAAACAGTGCGATAAAAACAACAACACAGAGTTACATATGGGGTAAACAAAACATAAAGTCAAAAATACAACAGAAAATATAGATACAGTGTGTGCAAATGTAGTAAATTATGGAGGTAAGGCAATAAATAGGCCATAGTGCAAAATAGTTACAATTTCGTATTAACACTGGAATGATAGATGTGCAAAAGATGATATGCAAATAGAGATACTGGGGGTGCAAATTAGCAAAATAAATAACAATATGGGGATGAAGTAGTTGGATGGGCTAATTTCAGAATGGCTGTGTGTAGGTGCAGTGATCGGGAAGCTGCTCTGACAACTGACGCTTAAAGTTAGTGAGGGAGATAAGAGTCTCCAGCTTCAGAGATTTTTGAGTTCAATGAGATAATCTTCATCAGCTAACCTCCGGAGGCTGAAGAAATTCGGCTTGGCCCCTAAGACTCTCACAAACTTTTACAGGTGCACCATTGAGAGCATCCTGTTGGGTGGTATCACCGCCTGGTACAGCAACTGCACCGCCTGCAACCGCAGGGCTCTCCAGAGGGTGGTGTGGTCTGCCCAACACATCTGGGGGCACACTGCCTGCCCTCCACGACACCTACAGCACCAAAAAGATCATCAAGGACATCAACCACCCGAGCCACGGCCTGTTCACATCGCTATCATCCGGAAGGCGAGGTCAGTACAGGTGCATCAAATCTGGGACCGAGAGACTGAAAAACAGTTTCTACAGCATCTCAAGGCCATCAGACTGTTAAATAACCATCACTAGCCAGCTACCACCCGGTTACTCAACCCTGCACCTTAGAGGCTGCTGCTCTATGTACATAGACATGGAATCACTGGTCACTTTAATAATGTTTACATACTATTTTACTCATTTCATATGTATACACTGTAGTCTAGTCAATGCCATCCTATTCAACTATTGCTGTATATATACTATTCTATCCTACGTATTCTACAGATATACTAAATATTCTATCCACATACTATCCATAATGTCTATACATCCCATCACACACACACACACACACACACATATATATATGAATAGTGTTCAGACCCTTTGACTTTTTCCACATTTTGTTACGTTACAGCCTTATTCTAAAATTGATTAAATTGTTTTTTCCTCCCTCATCAATCTACATACTATACCCCATAATTACGAAGCAAAAACAGGTTCAAAAAAATGTTTGCACATGTATTAAAAATAAAAACGGAAATACCACATTTACATTATTCAGACCCTTTACTCAGTACTTTGTTGAAGCAGCTTTGGCAGCGATTACAGCCTTGAGTCTTCTTGGGTGTGACACTACAAGCTTGGCACACCTATATTTGGGGAGTTTCTCCCATTCTTCTCTGCAGATCCTCTCAAGCTCTGTCAGGTTGAATGGGGAGCGTCGCTGCACAGCTATTTTCAGGTCTCTCCAGAGATGTTCGATAAGGTTTAGGTCCAGGCTCTGGCTCTGGCTGGGCCACTCAAGGACATTCAGAGACTTGTCCAGAAGCCACCCCTGCATTGTCTTGGCTGTGTGCTTAGGGTCGTTGTCCTGTTGGAAGGTGAACCTTCGCCCCAGTCTGAGGTCCTGAGTGCTCTGGAGCAGGTTTTCATCAAGGATCTCTCTGTACTTTGCTCTGTTCATCTTTCCCTCGATCCAGACTAGTCTCCCAGACCCTGCCGCTGAAAAACATCCCCGCAGCATGATGCTGCCACCACCATGCATCACTGTAGGGATGGTGCCAGGTTTCCTCCAGACGTGATGCTTGGCATTCAGGCCAAAGAGTTCAATCTTGGTTTCATCAGACCAGAGAATCTTGTTTCTCATGGTCTGAGAGTCCTTTAGGTGCCTTTTGGCAAACTCCAAGCGGCTGTCGTCTGGCCACTCTACAATAAAGACCTGATTGGTGGAGTGCTGCAGAGATGGTTGTCCTTCTGGAAGTTTCTCCCATCTCCACAGAGGAACTCTATAGCTCTGTCAGAGTGACCATCCGGTTCTTGGTCACCTACCTGACCAAGGCCCTTCTCCCCCGATTGCTCAGTTTGGCCGGGCGGCCAGCTCTAGGAAGAGTCTAGGTGGTTCCAAACTTGTTCTTGGGGACCTTCAATGCTGCAGAATTGTTTTGGTACCCTTCCCCAGATCTGTGCCTTGACACAATCCTGTCTCGGAGCTCTACGGACAATTCCATGGTTTTTGCTCTGACATGCACTGTCAACTGTGGGACCTTATATAGACAGGTGTGTGCCTTTCCAAATCATGTCCAATCAATTGAATTTACCACAGGTGGACTCCAATCAAGTTGTAGAAACATCTCAAGGATGATAAATATAAACAGGATGCACCTGAGCTCAATTTCGAGTCTCATAGCAAAGGGACTGAATACTTGTGTAAATAAGGTATTTTTATTTTTATTTTTTTTGCAAACATTTCTAAAAACATTTCTGGTTTTGCTTTGTCATTATGGGGTATTGTGTGTAGACTGATGAGAAAAAGTTATAATTTAATCAATTTTAGAATAGTCCAAAATGTGGACAAAGGCAAGGGGTCTGAATCCTTTCTGAATGTCTGTTTGTCTGTGTGTGTGTATGTATGTGTGTGCTCCTCCTAATATTTATATATTTATTAATTCCATTCTTTTACTTTTAGATTTGTGTGTATTGTTGTGAATTGTTAGATATTACTGCACTGTTGGAGCTAGGAACACAAGCATTTTGCTACACCCGCAATACCATCTGCTAAATATGTGTATGCGACCAATACAATTTTATGCACATAAACGCTTCATAATTTGTAAAGGTCATGTTAACTGACTGATATTATCGCATAGAATAAAACATATGCGATCTCATAAGCCTCTGTTAACCTCCAAAACCCTATTCCTTCTCCATTCATTTTGCCCATAGGAATGGCTGAACAAGAAGCAGTAAATTGTTTCTGGTTTTGGCTCTATACTCCCACACATTTTTTCTGTCCTCACTTTTTCTCTGCACTGACATGTAACTTTGCTACATCTTAAAGCCATAGGAACTGTAGGCTAATAGATCCATAGGCTTCACATCTCTACACATCTGATGGTCCCATGTGGCTCAGTTGGTAGCACTTACAACACCAGGGTTGTTGGTTTGATTCCCACGGGGGATGAGTATCAAAATGTATGAACTCACTACTGTAAATTGCTCTGGATAATAGTGATCTGATAAAATGTCTAAAATGGATCCGTCTGTTGCAGTATCTTTCCTTCATCTACACGCTTTCTATGCACTGAAAACTCAAGTAACCTTGCTTCATCCCAAAGGAATAGAAAATGTAGACTAATAGTTACTTAGACTACTAGCCTACACATCCCATGGAGGCAGCTGTTGCTATATTGCTCTATGATTTCAGCTCAAACTCATCCATCCTATCTACTGTATCTCCTGGAGAACTGCTGTCATTGTCATATTCATAATGATTAGGTATCCTTCAACATGACAGGTTGAGGGTAAATACAGATTAGCCTTCTTATCATGCTAACCTGAACTGTCGTGCCATTCCCCTTGACCCATATCTGCACTGGAACAGTGAAGAGAATCACAGGCAAAATATTGTAGGTATCCACATATTATTAATATTATTCCACTCTCACTGCAATTCTTAGACATCATAACAACACAATGGCCATGTGGTTTAAAAAAGAGACTCATTACAGACACCAGAATGGTTCACTTTTCCTTTGGAGAGTGGCCCTATGGCCTCTGCTATGATGCTGCAGTGTTGGAATAAAGGGCATCGTTTTAATCAGATTAAGAGATTAGGATGTTTATGCAGATTACTTTATAACCCAGATTGAGGGAGTGGAGAGGGATTTCTCTGGCAGTATTCAGGGGTGGAAGACAGGTACCTGTAAAACGCGGTAAGTATTTTTGTTCCTTGTATTTTATCAAATTAATATAATTATTTGATAAATTAATGTTATTAAATTCATTAATCTAGCGATCATAAGGAAGGGATAATCTGAGTGTAGTATTGGGGACAATTTTTCCTAAAATGTCAGCTAATGTCCACAACCCTAATCAACAAAAAAACAAAAGATACGCAACCTAATGCATACAATGATTATTATCATGGTTCTACGAGACACATTCTAAAAAAGTTTCTGTGAGTGTGGCAATGCTTTACGAATATGTTTACCTTACCTTTGGTAACGACGTATTTGTATTAATTGACAGACAATGCCGGGGGTGATAAATATGGACGAGTTGACAGACCTGGATAAGGCTAAAATGGAAAGAGACCAAAAGAAGATTGAAGTCAAGCTTGAGAGATGGATGGTACGTTTGACCACTTTACTTTGATTGATCATTTTTCCAATTGTAAAAGTAATTTATATGTAATAACAATAAGTGGAATAGTAATAGATTTGTACTGTATTATTTTAAACATGGATAAAAAGCCATGAAATGTTCCAAAGCGGAATGGATTGGTCATCAAAGGAGACTGTAATGACAGGTAGCCTAGCGGTTAGTAGCCAGTAACTGAAAAGTCGCTGGTTCGAATCCCCGAGCCGACTAGGTGAACAATCTGTCCATGTGCCCTTGCGCAAGGCATTTAACCCAAATTGCTCCAGTAAGTCGCTCTGGATAAGAGCGTCTGCCAAATGACTAAAATGTAAATGCATTCTTGATATTACAGTTGTGTGTGTTACATGTTAACCCTTCATTTGTACGACAGATGTCTAAGTGCTGTACTGAGTTTATGGAGGCCGTTCAGGCCGGTGTAGAAGAGGACACCCTGGTCAAAGGAATTGCAGAAGACAAGAACCCATTCAAGGAGTTGAAAGGCGGATGTGTCGTCTGCTGAAGAGGACAGGAGTCAGAACAGACAGCGGAGCTTTTCTTTCACCGATTAGACCCTCTAGTGCCCAAGGATATTCCCCCTTCCTTTGAAACATAGCTGGATCACCAATAGCCAACCGAGAGGAGATGGTAAAAAAAAAAAAAACAGATGTACATAAATCTAAACCTCATGAACCCATGTAAATGAATCCTTCTAGATTGTGCTCCCTCCTTGGTGTGATGCAGTAAATAAGGGTTGTTTTTGGAATGATTGTCAGAGCTTTGTTGGATGGTTTATATTGTCAGTAAAGAGCTTGTCTCCCATAAGTCTGTCTATAGTCTGAGTGTGTACCATCTGTTTCATTATTGGACAAAACCACAGTCATTAAATGAGCTTGTTTACAACTACAAGTCACCCTGAATGTTTTGTGAAAGACAGAGTACTTTTATAGGCTTGTAGACACATCCATTCTTAAAAGGTGGTATTGAGGAATCTGGCATCAATGGAAAAAAAGTTGTTATGAAAGTAAGGAACAGGTATGTTATGGGCAGCTCACCTGCCATTATAAAATCCCCCCCTTCTAGCCTAAAGCTTGCTACTTTGCCTGCCATGACCTACTACTACTACACATATGCCGCGTTCAAAACAACTGGGAACTCGGAAAAATACGAAATCAAATAATGACGTCGGTGATCTTCAGGTCAGAAAGGCTGATCTCTAGAAAGAGGCCCGAGTTCCCGAGTTGGTATTCCGAGTTTTTTTTTCCGAGTTCCCAGCTGTTTTGAACGCACTAAAGTCGAAAGTCGGAGATATCTGAGTTCCGAGCTCCCAGGTGTTTTGAACGTGGCAATATCCTATGTGACACGACCATTTGCGCATGTGCAGCTCATAGACCCACACACAACAGAAACTGTCACTTGCACAGAAATGGCTCTGCGACTGAACTTGGCAGCAAGCCGTAATTTCTCCAAATTAACCTCGTTTAGCAGTACAAGGAAGCTGACTGAAAATGTGTCATCTAAACCCAAAACCGCCAGTGGTTCAGAGATAACGGCTGATCATTTACTCTACACACCAGAGCATTTTGCACTGAAGGAATCTCTTAAAAAGGTACGCAAGACTGGTAGCCAGTTAGTTAGCATAGCATTACAACAATGAAACAGAATAAAGAAATCATGATTCAATTTAACACAAAGTTATTACTAATATAGCTTTCGTGGATATGAATATTGGTGGTATAACTTGCAAATGATAATGGCATATTACAAAACATGAAAGTAGGTGAGAGGTCACTAGCAGAAAGGCTAACTCGACACAAACGACTTTTTTTCTATTCGTATTATCTGAATAAAGTTTAAGTTCTATCCTACGACATTTTTTCGCAATATTACAAGCTTCTCAACCTAAACAAAACAGCAAAAGCTGCATTGTTTTGATACAGCCTTGTGGGAGAAAAAATAAAAGTCCACCGACTGTCACGTGACGTCTGTTTGAACTTGATATAAATACAATACTTTGTATAATGTTATTGTAGTCCTTTACATTATATATTTGACAATGTATCACTCATTAGTTTTATCCCACTTATAGACCACCAAATGTAGCCCTCATTATGGTTGAAACATGTTGCTGCATGGTTGAAACAAAGATCTCCATGTTTCTGTCACGATCATCGTCAATGTCATTCAATATATCAATGTCATTCATTCAAACTGCCAAACATCAAGCACATTTCATATTCATGCACAATTGTCCCAATGCATTAATAACTGGAATTTTGTCAAATCTGAACCAGTATCTGTGCATTAGAGACCTCATGAATGGTCTTGTTACCACCTTATTAATAGCAGAGTGTAGGATGTGTTGATCAGTTGATTGACAGGTGTAGGACTGTAGAACGATAAACTAGAAACGTTCCTCTAGTATGGATGCTCACCAACGTTTTATAGTTATGTAGCCTATTGTTTATCATTAGTTATCGTTATAGTTATTGGCTTGGTGGATGGCCCGGGCCTTAACTCTGACACAACACAACTAACATTATTATCACAACAGAACTAGCCTACTAGTAAGTAGCTAACGATAGCGAACTTGAATTAAATCAATATAAAATTAGAATTTTATTCTCTATGAATTGACTTTTTCAAATGATTTACTCTTGCAATTTTGCAAACAGTGTGCTGCACTAGGGACATGAAGCAGAAGTCGAATCCATCACTTCCGTTGTTTAGCTGTGCCCATTGCAACCCTCGAAAATGAGGTGGAACGTCATTTCCAAACATTCTAAGAATGTATGAAAACTTGAAAATGTACATATCTAAGTGCTAGCTTGTCAGACAATGTAAAAAATAAATAAAATGTAATATTCTTCCTGTGGGTGTATATGAACAGATTTGAATAAGATTTAATATAGTCAGGTCCACTTTAATGTTTATCATGAGTGACTCTATAGATAATGAGTCAGGTGTATGATGCCTAGTTGGGACCAGAGCCATGTATTTAGAGAGTTGGGCCAATGCAGATTCTTCATTATGATGCATTTACATGACACTTCCAACATTCTATGGCTGCCATGTTAGCTCCCTATCAACCTTCTATGGGGAATATTTAAACAATGCTATGTAACTGAATGTCAAGAATTAGAACAATATTCAAGAAGTTGGCCTAACTCTCTAAATATATGGCTCTGGTTGGGACTAGGCATAGACTAAACTCTACAGTACCTGCAGCCCTCTAAGACTACGGCTGCCTTCCGCTTTGCTACATGACTAGGCTACACAGTCACCGGGGACAAAGCTAAAAATATAGAGAGCCCATAAAAAGAAGGAAACCAAGACTGGGAGGTAGATGGAAATACAATTGTTTTCAATTGTGACTTAAACCTCAAAGGATGCAGGGAGGTTGAAAATGAGATGACATGCGGAAGATAGAAAGGATATAAAAGCAAAAAGGAAACAACTCACCAGTGGGACATATGGGAACTGTAGTTTATTACAATAATACAGTTGAGGGTTCCGTGCATTGTAAACTTGGTAGTGGTACACAAAAAGGGTTACGAAAAATCCAGAAGGTCAGAAGTTCATAATCACATTGCAAATCCAATCAGAATATTCTAACCTGTTCTAACCTACGTTCCATTTTAGAGTAAAGTAGAACTTCTGAGATTCCTCAATTTCAAATCCTCGGCTCAATCATTTGTTTGACATTTTAAGATGTTGAAGAAATTGTGATAAATCAATTCTGCCTACTTCACCCACCTCAAATCTCCTTCATCATGCTGATGACTGCCCTAAAAACATGTTTACGTGATGTTACTGGAATGTTATTGCACTGCTCCCAGCTAGGAGTGAAACACAGCCATGTCAGGGGAAAGTAGTGTTCTTGACAGTGCTCTTGACCCCAACTCACAATTCACAGCTCTGCGATGTGAAATTGTTCTGGTATGCAACCCTACCAGTCAACAATAACCTTTGTGAATGATTTCTAGTCCCAGTAGACATTTCCCTTTCCAAGACCTAGCAGATCCTCCCTATCCCCTTCCTCAGGATTTGAACTGTTATTTCAGAGGAAGAGCCGGACCCGTACTTTGCTCATAGCTGTCTGTTTGTCATTTTGATTATACTGTGCTTTATTTCTCACATATTTATAACTCATGCATTCCTTTGGAGTGAGTGGAGTGTGTATAGTGTTATTGTTCTGGACAATCCAGAAAGAAACTCGTAGGTTATAGGCCTACCTGTCCAATACTCGTAGGTTATAGGCCTACCTCTCCTGTACTCGTAGGTTATAGGCCTACCTCTCCTGTACTCGTAGGTTATAGGCCTACCTCTCCTGTACTCGTAGGTTATAGGCCTACCTCTCCTGTACTCGTAGGTTATAGGCCTACCTCTCCTGTACTCGTAGGTTATAGGCCTACCTCTCCTGTACTCGTAGGTTATAGGCCTACCTCTCCTGTACTCGTAGGTTATAGGCCTACCTCTCCTGTACTCGTAGGTTATAGGCCTACCTCTCCTGTACTCGTAGGTTATAGGCCTACCTCTCCTGTACTCGTAGGTTATAGGCCTACCTCTCCTGTACTCATAGGTTATAGGCCTACCTCTCCTGTGCTCATAGGTTATAGGCCTACCTCTCCTGTACTCGTAGGTTATAGGCCTTCCTCTCCTGTACTCGTAGGTTATAGGCCTACCTCTCCTGTACTCGTAGGTTATAGGCCTGCCTCTCCTGTACTCGTAGGTTATAGGCCTACCTCTCCTGTACTCGTAGGTTATAGGCCTACCTCTCCTGTACTCGTAGGTTATAGGCCGACCTCTCCTGTACTCGTAGGTTATAGGCCTACCTCTCCTGTACTCGTAGGTTATAGGCCGACCTCTCCTGTACTCGTAGGTTATAGGCCTACCTCTCCTGTACTCGTAGGTTATAGGCCTACCTCTCCTGTACTCGTAGGTTATAGGCCTACCTCTTCTGTACTCATAGGTTATAGGCCTACCTCTCCTGTACTCGTAGGTTATAGGCCTACCTCTCCTGTACTGGTAGGTTATAGACCTACCTCTCCTGTACTCGTAGGTTATAGGCCTACCTCTCCTGTGCTCGTAGGTTATAGGCCTACCTCTCCTGTGCTCGTAGGTTATAGGCCTACCTCTCCTGTACTCGTAGGTTATAGGCCTACCTCTCCTGTACTCGTAGGTTATAGGCCTACCTCTCCTGTACTCGTAGGTTATAGGCCTACCTCTCCTGTACTCGTAGGTTATAGGCCGACCTCTCCTGTACTCGTAGGTTATAGGCCGACCTCTCCTGTACTCGTAGGTTATAGGCCTACCTCTCCTGTACTCGTAGGTTATAGGCCTACCGCTCCTGTACTCGTAGGTTATAGGCCGACCTCTCCTGTACTCGTAGGTTATAGGCCTACCTCTCCTGTACTCGTAGGTTATAGGCCTGCCTCTCCTGTACTCGTAGGTTATAGGCCTACCTCTCCTGTACTCGTAGGTTATAGGCCTACCTCTCCTGTACTCGTAGGTTATAGGCCGACCTCTCCTGTACTCGTAGGTTATAGGTCTGTTTGTTATTCTTGGCTAGTAGAGGAGCTGGTTCTCTTTATGTTGCTATCACTCCTTGCACAATCTTTTGGAATAGGCATTTTGGGGAGGCATTTTACATTGGCAATTGTTCATTTGTCTTGAAATGCTTTCCAACCCCCACGGAAAGCCAGAACTTGTGCTTTACTCTGGTTAAGATTCTAGAACAAACTCCATTATGAACAGTGACTCATGGCCCCTAACAGTGGTTTATGCACTGAAGGAAGCTGCATTAGCCTAAATTAGTAATTTTCCCCACTTAACTGTATAATTATGGTGGTTTTAATTGCTTTTAATTTGCTCTATACCTGCCATTGGAGAGTTGTTGTGCTCCACAGCAACGCTTGAAAGCAGATTAATGGACGGGTTTGTCAAGGGTCTCTACATTAACTACCAAAATGGGATTGGGAGGAAGCACACGTAGTTGCCTAAAATCTAACTATTTTATGTAGGCAGTATTAACTGTTTTGAACATTTCCGCCCAAAAGCAGGTCCATTTTTATGAGGATATAGATTTAGCGAAACAATTTTGAGCCTGAATTTCAGGTGGCTTGTTGAAACTAATTATGCATCGTAGATTACATGCGTATAGGCTATTAAACACTTAAAAGCTCAAGCAGGAAGCACCAGCGACTCGGTCAATAAAGAAGTGGTCAGATGACGCAGATGCTAAGCTACAGGACTGTTTTCAGTAACTGGCTTCATCAATAAGTGCATCGATTACGTCGTCCCCACAGTGACCGCACGTACATACCCCAACCAGAAGCCATGGATTACAGGCAACATCCGCACTGAGCTAAAGGGTAGAGCTGCCGCTTTCAAGGAGTGGGAATCTAACCCGGATGCTTATAAGAAATCCAGCTATGCCCACCGACGAACCATCAAACAGGCAAAGCGTCAATACAGGACTAAGATTGAATCGTACTACACTGGCTCCGATGCTAGTCGGATGTGGCAGGGCTTGCAAACTATTACAGACTACAAAGGGAAGCACCGCCGCGAACTGCCCAGTGACACGAGCCTACCAGACGAGCTAAATTACTTCTATGCTCGCTTCGAGGCAAGCAACACTGAAGCATGCATGAGAGCATCAGCTGTTCCGGATGACTGTGTGATAACGCTCTCCGTAGCCGATGTGAGTAAGACCTTTAAACAGGTCAACATTCACAAGGCCGCAGGGCCAGACGGATTACCTGTACGTGTACTCCGAGCATGCGCTGACCAACTGGCAACTGTCTTCACTGACATTTTCAACCTGTCCCTGACTGAGTCTGTAATACCAACATGTTTCAAGCAGACCACCATAGTCCCTGTGTCCAAGAACACTAAGGTAACCTGCCTAAATAACTACAGACCCGTAGCACTCACGTCTGTAACCATGAAGTGCTTTGAAAGGCTGGTCATGGCTCACACCAACACCATTATCCCAGAAACCCTAGACCCACTCCCAATTTGCATACCGCCCCAACAGATCCACAGATGATGCAATCTCTATTGTACTCCACACTGCCCTTTCCCACCTGGACAAAAGGAACACCTATATGAGAATGCTATTCATTGACTACAGCTCAGCGTTCAACACCATAGTGCCCTCAAAGCTCATCACTAAGCTAAGGACCCTGGGACTAAACACCTCCCTCTGCAACTGGATCCTGGACTTTCTGACGGGCCGCCCCCAGGTGGTAAGGGTAGGTAACAACACATCTGCCACGCTGATCCTCAACACGTGTGCCCCTCAGGGGTGCGTGCTCAGTCCCCTCCTGTAGTCCCTGTTCACCCATGACTGCATGGCCAGGCACGACACCAACACCATCATTAAGTTTGCTGACGACATAACAGTGGTAGGCCTGATCACCGACAACGATGAGACAGCCTGTAGGGAGGTCAGAGACCTGGCCGTGTAGTGCCAGGATAACAACCTCTCCCTCAACGTGATCAAGACAAAGGAGATGATTGTGGACTACAGGAAAAGGAGGACCGAGCACGCCCCCATTCTCATCGACGGGGCTGTAGTGGAGCAGGTTGAGAGCTTCAAGTTCCTTGGTGTCCACATCACCAAAAACGATCATCGTCCAAACACACCAAGACAGTCGTGAAGAGGGCATGACAAAGCCTATTCCCCCTCAGGAGACTGAAAAGATTTGGCATGGGTCCTCAGATCCTCAAAAAGTTACACAGCTGCACCATCGAGAGCCTCCTGACTGGTTGCATCGCTGCCTGGTATGGCAACTGCTCGGCCTCCGACCACAAGGCACTACAGAGGGTAGTGCGTACGGCCCAGTACATCACTGTGGCCAATTTTCCTGCCATCCAGGACCTCTATACCAGGCGGTGTCAGAGGAAGGCCCTAAAAATTGTCAAAGACTCCAGCCACTCTAGTCATAGACTGTTCTCTCTGCTACCGCATGGCAAGCGGTACCGGAGCGCCAAGTCTAGGTCCAAAAGGCTTCTTAACAGCTTCTACCCCCAAGCCATAAGACTCCTGAACAGATAATCAAATGGCTACCCGGACTATTTGCATTGTCCCCCACCCACCCCCTCTTTTAAGCTGCTGCTACGCTCTGTTTATTATCTATGCATAGTCACTTTAACTCTACCTACATATACATATTACCTGAATTAACTCGACTAATTTGTGTCCCCGCACATTGACTCTGTACTAGTACCCCCTGTATATAGCCTCACTACTGTTATTTTACTGCTGCTCTTTAATTATTTGTTATTTTAGTAATATATTTTTTTACTTATCTATTTTTTACTTAACATTTATTTTTCTTAAAACTGTGTTGTTGTTTATGGGCTTGTAAGTAAGCATTTCACTGTAAGGTCTACAGCTGTTGTATTCGGCGGGTGTGACAAATACAATTTGATTTGATAGTAGTTGTACTTTTAAGCTCTTCTATTGTGAACTCTATTCACCTTAAAAAAAGAACACCATCCATCTCATCATGCTGTTTAACATTGAGAATGAGGTTAACATCTAAATATGTAGGCATCATCTCCCCCTAAGAAGTGGTTGAGTTGGCAGAGAAAATGTGGGATCTTGATAGTGTCTTCTTAAGTAGTTTTCCAGCACCCTATTCCTTGTACACTGAGTATTATTACATATGGGATAGACACTGAGTGTACAAAACATTAGGAACACCTTCCTAATATTGAGTTGCACCCCCCCCACCCCTTTTTGCCCTCAGAACAGACTCAATTCATCAGGGCATGGACTCTACCAGGTGTCAAAAGCGTTCCACAGGGATGCTGGTCCATGTTGACTCCAATGCTTCCCACAGTTGTGTCAGGTTGGCTGGATATCCTTTGGGTGGTGGACCATTCTTGATACACACAGGAAACTGTTGAGTGTGGAAAAACCCAGCAGCGTTGCAGTTCTTGACACACTCAAACAGGTGCGCCTGGCACCTACTACCATACCCCATTCAAAGTCACTTAAATCTTTTGTCTTGCCCGTTCACCCTCTGAATGTCATGGAAAGAGCAGGTGTTCTTAATGTTTTGTTCACTCAGTGTATTGGGCACTGTAGTGCACTACATAGGGAATAGGGTGCCATTTGGGACGTACCCATGGTACCAAGGCTCTCTTGACACTCACATTTCTCCAGAACGGGAGTGTTTCCTCATCCCTTCAATCCCTAAGAACAGTCTTCAAGCATGACATAGGGGAGTTTGGCCCCGCGATGAAGGGAATGCTCTCAGGTGGATTTAAGAGAGATTTTCGTAATCCATAGTCATAAAAATGTCCTCTTGGAAATATATTACTGTAGCTTTATATGGAGGATCTAATGTTGCACTTAATGTGAACCACTTCATCTTCATGCTACTTGATGCCTGCACAAATCTCTGTATGTCCATGTACTGAAGCGGTATACTGTAACTGGTACCGTTGGTATTAGGGCCATTCCATAGGGAAATGAGATTTTAGGTTAGGCTAACATTGTTAGATGCAAACAGGCTTGTTAGTCTCAAACTATATTATAGTTGTTTCCCTCTTAATGTCCAGAATGACAAGAATTTGGATTTGGTTTGGGGAGCTAGGCTACATGTTGACACACTAGGCCTATCTCTATCTGCAGTCTTGTGAAACTGCAATATTTAATGAAGGCTCGTTGACAGCGAGTGTAAAGGACAGGTGGGAAGTAGCACGCACAATACCATCCCCTCCTTATCATAGCATGTATTCATCCATATGAGATTTTCTTTCAGTATGTTTTGTGTTCATTTTGTATTCATTGATATTTAGACCTTAGTCTAGCAGTCTGCCAGTGACGGATTACATAGATTTAAGTACAGGTAGAACAGGACTACTGAAAATAAGGTTGACGACTTCGCATTTATTTACAACCATGTACCTTTCTTAAGTGTTCTGATAAAATGGTGAGTCAATTTCCAAGTACATTTTCAGGGGGAAGATAAGCTATTTATATTAACATTCATTAGATTGGAATGAAATGTCCCCTGTAGCTCAGTTGGTAGAGCATGGCGCTTGCAACGCCAGGGTTGTGGGTTCGTTTCCCACGAGGGGCCAGTATGAAAATGTATGCACTCACTAACTGTAAGTCGCTCTGGATAAGAGCGTCTGCTAAATGACGAAAATGTAAATGTAATGTAAATGTTAGTCTCACACACCCACACCATTGGCATACATATCCATTCTCACACATACAGACAACCTACGTCCAGGGCACACCTAGTCTCTTGACCACACAGACATGTACCAAACCTACGTCTATGTGTTTGTCATCTTTCCATCTATCTTTGTCTGTGTTGTAGATCATCAACCAGGATATCAACCCCTATGTGGACCAATGGGAAGCAGAGGGGATATTTCCTGCCCACAAAGTCTTCAAGCTCCTTGGAAACGCCGGGTTTCTGGGTGTCAACAAGCCAGTTGGTACGAACTTCTTCTGTCTCTTCCTCTATGAAATTAAATTGTCTCAAATCACCCAGTTAATAACTTTTTCTGAGCTATTTCTTTGCCTGATTCTGATTAATTTGTGGGAAATTATGCTTAACCTATTTCACGTTCTCCCCCTTATAAAACTGTGTCAGTTGAAAGCACTTCCCTTTGAAGAGAAGAGGACGGCTAATTTCAGACGATAAAGATGGTTTCATTAATTGAGTGTTTTCATGAACATTCACCTGAATCGGAGTGAGACGAGGAGCAGCATGAAAATAAGAAAATGGTGAAGCCTCATTCCCCGTGAAAGGGTCTCGAAAGATACAGCAGCAGCAAGCGATAATGGGTTCCTCATAGACCCCTGAGCGCCCAATGTGTCAAACTAGGCACTGCTCTTCATCAAAACTCAACAAAAGAGCCTCTCAAGGGCTAGCGTGAGAAAATGAAGTTGAGTAATTTCGTTGCATACCAGACTCAAGATGATTTATATGCCTAAAATGACATCATTTTCATAAGAAAAGTTAAGACGTGCTTAGCATGTCATTCTGGCTTTGGCCCAGAAGTAGCGACCATATTGTGGTGAGTGTAGATATTTGTAGATGTTTGGAGTCACATCTCACAAAACCTGTTAGTCCTATCTCCATTCCAGATACTGTCCTTTACCACTGTGAAAAAACGATGATACTTTTTGTCATATTTTAATAATCCAGACAGTATATGGTATAAGACGTTTGAGAATTTTTAAAGTGATGATTCATTCCAAAATCTAATTATGTCAATGTTTTCGGACCTCCAAGTCCCACTACCCACCAATCTAGATCCAAATACTGCATATCAACCCCAAATGACTAGAAAAGACAACTCATCTTGACATTAGTCCCCATAGATGTCAAAACATCTAACAAACTTTGATTTTAAAGTGAAATACTACAGAGAACAATGCAGTGGGTATTGTTGTCGTGGTGGGCCCTATGGGGAAATTGGCTCATAAATCTAGCTAAGTCAGAGGAGAGTGGGGCGAGCAGCATTACAAAGTGCTAACTACAGAGCCCTTCAGCATTAACAGGCTGGATTAGAGAGAAGGGGGACAAGGAAGTCTGTCCCAGACACACCAGATCACCAGATGGTATATTAGATCATCTCTTTATGGTTAATCCCACACTGTGTCAGAGAGAGAGACTACCGCTGAGACGAGACACATATTGCTAATAGACTATATTGCTGATAGCCTATATTGCTGGTAGGCCTACTTGTGTTATTATTGTATATATTCAAGAATACCACAAGAGTTGAGGATACACTTTTTGGAACTTTATCTAGACTTGATCAGAACAGACGTTACAGGACATTGGAATCTCTCTCTTGCACCAGCTTACATACCAATGTAAACTGGTGCAAGAGAGAGATTCCAATGTCCTGTAACATACCCCATAATATACCCTGCTTGCTTAGCGAGTACCATTTCCTCCAGATTTGGCTCACACAAGGTTTGAACCCAGGACCTCTGTCTTGCTGCTAGTAAACGTGACCGTGACTGCCCTCCTGAAGTGTCTTGCCAGTCGGCACCATGCGAACAAAAGTCACTCCCGTTTAGCAACTGTAAATTGCTTTGGCACAATAGGCATCAAGTCACTTGCCGATAATGTTGCATACACCGTTGCGTACAGCATTTGAAAGGTCTATCATTTTCATCAAACACACAATCAAAGTTAACATAAGCCCTAGATGCCCAATTGCCCAATTTATGGCATTTTAACAATGTGATATTGCACTCCAAGTGTATAACTTGAAATAACATGATGTAGGTAATTAAATAAAACATATTTTTTTATTAGCCTAGTGGTTAGGTGTGCTCTTTAGTGTATTGTCAGCTGGGTGTTCAACCAGTCTTTGCTGGGAACACTAGTTGCTACCGTAGGCGCACACCAGGTGCTTTCCATTTTGCCCTGGTGAGTCAGTACTGCCAGCAGCTGCCAATGCCGAACCCCGGCGGCGGTTAACTAACCCGGAAAACTCAATATCTGAGTTTGGGTCTGTGGAACCCTTGGTGGAGGAAATACCAGAATGATCTCCAGCCGTCTTGACACTGTCTTGCCACTGGATACAGATGACACTGGACGAGAGAGTGAGGTCGAAGCTGCGCAACTCTCCCTCACTTCAAAGCGCAAGTCATGAAACCATCACCCATAGTCCTGTGGCTTTCGGCGAATGATGAAGCTGTAGCCGTGGTCTCGCACACAGGTTATTGGGTCGCTTTTCACTGGACTGAAGCAGCAGTGGAACTGAGTGTCTGAGCAGTACTATTCAGGTTCACACTGCTCATCTCCCCAGCATGAGGAAGGGGCTAGAAAAGGTGCCCTAAACATTGTCTGCTTTACTTTACCCTGACCAGCCTACCGCAGCTGGAAGGGATCCCAACTCAGCAGTGGAACAAAGAAAAGAAAAGTGACACCACTTAATATTGGTGCTTGGAATGTGCGCACACTTATGGACACTGCTGGACCAAACAGACCTGTGAGACGTACACTCTTGTAGGCAGAAAACGTGCCAGATACAAAATGGACATTGCCGCCATAAGTGAGACCCAGCTAGCTGACACGGGACAGATTGCAGAAGTTGGAGCCGGTTGCACCTTCTTTTGGAGTCGGCATGGAAAATAGGTTTTGGTTTTGCAGTAAAATCTCACCTGGTCAACCAACTGTCAAGCTTACCTAAGGGTATGATGACCCTGAAGCACCATTTACCAGGCAAAAAGCAGGTCACCATCATAAACAATCTTCAAACTACCCAACCACAAGAAAACAATATGGATGTACAGTCCAAACACTGGCATTGATTGACAATGGCATTGTCAGGAGGAGAGACAGACAAGATGTCAAGGGTGAAAAAGGCCATGTGCGATGCAGAATGCTGGATAGATCACCGACTCATTATCTCCAAGCTCAACATCCAGATCAAACCTCCCAGATGTCCACAAGGCAAAATATCCTCTAAAGGACTCAACATCTCTCGGCTGAAAGAGGAGAACATCCGGCAGCACTTTGTTGAAGCCCTAGACCACTGTTTGGAGTCCTTATGCCTTGATTCGGAAGACGCTGAGGCAGATTGGACAGCTTTCATAAATCTGCTGCATTCTACAGTGCTCAAAACAGTTGGTGCCGCCACACGCAAACACCAAGACTGGTTAGATGAGAATGATGCAGAGATTCAGGCACTCCATGATGATAAACATCCGAAGGACTGTCCAGTTCAAGCTTAGAGCTATGCAGGATGCTTGGCTCAGTCAGAAAGCAGAGGAGATTAAATCGTATGCCAACAGCAACAACACAAAGCATTTATACGATGCACTCAAGTCAGTCTATGGCCCACAACCCTCAAGAACCTCACCTCTCCTGATTGCGGATGGAACTACACTGATCAGAGAGAGAGAGAGAGAAAATCCTTGCCAGATGGGCTGAACACTTCAACTCAATAAATGAAGAAGCAATCAACAGGCTGCGGCAAGTTGAAATGACCCTGTCTCTTGCAGACCTACCCACCCTGGAGGAAACAAAAAAAAGCATCTGTCTCCTCTCATTGGGAAAAGCTCCAGTAGCTGACACCATACCAGCTGAAATCTACAAGGTGGGAGGGCCTTGTTTGGTTGAGAAGCTAACCGGCCTCTTCCAGTCATTGTGGAGACAAGAAGCTGTCTCTCAGGAGTTTAAGGATGCCTCGATTATCCACCTCGACAAGAGGAAAGGCAATCGCCAAGCCTGTGACAATCACAGAGGTATATCCTTGCTGTCAATTGCTGGAAGAATCTTAGCTAGAATCCTCCTGAACCGTTTAAAAGAACACCTAGACCAAGACCTGCTGCCCGAAACCAGTGTGGCTTCAGAAAGAACTGTGGAACAACTGACATGGCGTTTGCAGCTTGCAAACACCCAAGAAAAATGCCAGGTGCCATACTCTGACCTGTACCTCACCTTTTTCGACCTGACATAGGCTTTTGACACCATAAGGGCCTCTGGAAGATCATGGCAAAGTTTAATCACAATGGTGTGTCAGTTCCATGATGGCATGATGGCTAGTGTGCAAGATCACCAAGAGTCCTCTGAGCAGTTTCCAGTCACAAACGGAGTGAAGCAAGGCCGTGTTCTAGCACCAACCTCGTTTAGCATGATGCTCTCCACCATGCTGCAAGATGCCTTCCCAAATGACCACACTGGGATCCGTTTCATCTACCGCATTGATGGGGGGCTTTTCAACCTGAGGAAGATGCATGCCAAAACAAAGGTGGAGGAGGTGACTCTCCGCGACCTCTTGTTTGCAGATGACTGCACACTAGCTGCTGGCTCACTTGCTGACCTGCAGATCCTCATGGACAACTTTTCATCTGCCTGTGACAACTTCAGCCTCACAATCAGTACAAAGAAGACCGAAGTTATGTACCAACCTGCCCCCGGTAATCCTTACGTGACCGAACCATCTCTGTGAAAGGTCAGACAAATTGACTTACCTTGGTAGCACAAGTGTTGTGTCCCGTGTGGTTCACATAGACGATGAAACAAACAACAGCATCACCAAGGCTAGTGCAGCCTTTGGCCGTCTGCCAGATTCTGTGTTTTATTTTTACCCACTTTTTCTAGTCTGAGATGTTTTGTGGTCTATCCCCAATATAAAGCTTGCCTATGCTAAAACGTTGACTAACGTGGCAAGCTCTCAAAGTATGCTGTATGAGTCTGGTTAGATTGATTGGAATGGGAGAGGATTACACCGACCAGGAGGCTTAGGCCTGTACTGTTGGGATGGAGAAATACCAGATGGACTGGGAATGGTTTTCACAGAAGAAATAGCCTTATTGTATGGGACACCTTTAAATGTGCCTTTAGAGGCCATGCAATTCAGTACTCATCTCGAAAACAAAAGCAATTTAGGTCAAAAGAGTCCACACTAACAAAGGAAATAGAAGGTCTAACAGAACAGATAGATAGCAATAAAAACTGTAACATAGAGGCTCAGAATAAATTAGAGGAAAAACAAAAATAAATTGAGAAACTTATTCAAGAAAGATCAAGTGTAATATATTATAAAAATAAAGCAAACTGGATGGAATATGGGGAAAAATGCACCAAATTATTTTTTAATCTTCAACATAGGAATGCTACCAAAAATAATTTATTGAAACTGGTTACCCATGATTCACCAAATGATATTTTGAAGGAGGAAACAAAGTACTTTAAGCATACGTTTTCGTTTGTCGCCTCCATCTCCTCTAACTGAAGCAAATTGTAGAGATTATTTTTCTATTGATAATGTAAAATTAGCAGCCATGCAGAAAGACTCATGTGAAGGTGAAATTACAGAGGAGGAATTTCTGGATGCAATTAAAGTCCGGGAAAACTCCAGGGTTGGATGGCATACCAGTCGAGGTATACCAAACCTTTTTTGATATACACAGAGGACCGTTATTAGCATGTTTTAACCACTCCTATGTAAATGGTAGATTATCAGACACTCAAGAAGAAGGTCTGATTTCATTATTACTGAAACAGGATACAAGTGGAAAATATAAAGATCCAGTCCATTTAAAAAATTGGAGGCCCCTAACACTTCAGTGTTGTGATGCAAAAATTCTAGCAAAATGTATAGCGCATAGAATTAAAAAGGTATTGTCGGACATTATTCATTCTAATCAGACAGGTTTTTTACATGGGCGATACATTGGAGATAATACAGTGAGGGAAAAAAGTATTTGATCCCCTGCTGATTTTGTACGTTTGCCCACTGACAAAGAAATGATCAGTCTATAATTTTAATGTTAGGTTTATTTGAACAGTGAGAGACAGAATAACAACAAAAATATCCAGAAAAACGCATGTAAAAAATGTTATAAATTGATTTGCATTTTAATGAGGGAAATAAGTATTTGACCCCCTCTCAATCAGAAAGATTTCTGGCTCCCAGGTGTCTTTTATACAGGTAACGAGCTGAGATTAGGAGAATACTCTTAAAGGGAGTGCTCCTAATCTCAGATTGTTACCTGTATAAAAGACACCTGTCCACAGAAGCAATCAATCAATCAGATTCCAAACTCTCCACCATGGCCAAGACCAAAGAGCTCTCCAAGGATGTCAGGGACAAGATTGTAGACCTACACAAGGCTGGAATGGGCTACAAGACCATCGCCAAGCAGCTTGGTGAGAAGGTGACAACAGTTGGTGCGATTATTCGCAAATGGAAGAAACACAAAAGAACTGTCAACCTCCCTCGGCCTGGGGCTCCATGCAAGATCTCACCTCGTGGAGTTGCAATGATCATGAGAACGGTGAGGAATCAGCCCAGAACTACACGGGAGGATCTTGTCAATGATCTCAAGGCAGCTGGGACCATAGTCACCAAGAAAACAATTGGTAACACACTACTCCGTGAAGGACTGAAATCCTGTAGCGCCCGCAAGGTCCCCCTGCTCAAGAAAGCACATATACATGCCCGTCTGAAGTTTGCCAATGAACATCTGAATGATTCAGAGGAGAACTGGGTGAAAGTGTTGTGGTCAGATGAGACCAAAATGGAGCTCTTTGGCATCAACTCAACTCGCCGTGTTTGGAGGAGGAGGAATGCTGCCTATGACCCCAAGAACACCATCCCCACCGTCAAATATGGAGGTGGAAACATTATGCTTTGGGGGTGTTTTTCTGCTAAGGGGACAGGACAACTTCACCGCATCAAAGGGACAATGGACGGGGCCATGTACCGTCAAATCTAGGGTGAGAACCTCCTTCCCTCAGCCAGGGCATTGAAAATGGGTCGTGGATGGGTATTCCAGCATGACAATGACCCAAAACACACGGCTAAGGCAACAAAGGAGTGGCTCAAGAAGAAGCACATTAAGGTCCTGGAGTGGCCTAGCCAGTCTCCAGACCTTAATCCCATAGAAAATCTGTGGAGGGAGCTGAACGTTCGAGTTGCCAAACGTCGGCCTCGAAACCTTAATGTCTTGGAGAAGATCTGCAAAGAGGCGTGGGACAAAATCCCTCCTGAGATGTGTGCAAACCTGGTGGCCAACTACAAGAAACGTCTGACCTCTGTGATTGCCAACAAGGGTTTTGCCACCAAGTACTAAGTCATGTTTTGCAGAGGGGTCAAATACTTATTTCCCTCATTAAAATGCAAATCAATTTATAACATTTCTGACATGCGTTTTTCTGGATTTTTGTTGTTATTCTGTCTCTCACTGTTCAAATAAACCTACCATTAAAATGATAGACTGATAATTTCTTTGTCAGTGGGCAAACGCACAAAATCAGCAGGGGATCAAATACTTTTTTCCTCACTGTATTTGGCTAACTATTAAACTAACTGTTTAGCAGTTTTATGGCTTGGGGGTAGAAGCTATTCAGGGTCCTGTTGGTTACAGACTTGGTGCATCGGTACCGCTTGCCGTGTGGTTGCAGAGAGAGCAGTCTATGACTTGGGTGGCTAGAGTCATTGAAATTGTTTAGGGCCTTCCTCTGACAGCACCTGGTATATAGCTCCTGGATGGCAGGGAGCTCGGCCCAAGTGATGTACTGGGCCGTACGTACTACCCTCCAGCGTCTTGCGGTCGGTTGCCAAGCAGTTGCCATACCAGGCGGTGATGCAGCCAGTCAGGATGCTCTTGATGGTGCAGCTGGATAACTTTTGGAGTATATGAGGGTCCATGCTAAATCTTTTCAGCCTCCTGAGGGGGAAGAGACGTTCTTGTGCCCTCTTCACGACTGTGTTGGTGTGTGTGTGGACCATGATAGATCCTTATCTTCAGATGACGACACATTTTTTGCTGAGAACGATGAGGGACTTGTAGAGCGCAGGGATAATTTGAAATGCAAACATGAACGCGGTGCGAGTGTGGAGTGTTGGAATGAAAGTTCTAGGGCATAAAGGCAAATAAGGGTAACTCAGGCCCTTTAGTACCAAGCAAGCACAAGCTTAAACTTCTATTTCAAAGCTTTTCATTTCTTGGAACATCTCTTTCTTGGCGCTGTGGTACAGTACAAAACAAAATCTGGCAGATATCAACGTATGAAACATTCACATTTAGACTATTTATTTATCCATAGGTCACGACCAACCCACTCCAGTTTCTACAAATGATATCCACGTTTGGAGGCACTGTACTGGAGCCAGCCTTCACATTAATAAAGCTTCAGAGCCAGATTGCTCTTCAGCTGATTATCTCATAGGAACAAAGCTCTACGGCTCACAAACACAAACACACCCCTTTTCTTCCAGAAGGAAAATAACCAGAACAGGAAAGTGTTGCCCAGGCAACGGGGAGCAGAACATGGGTGACCTTTCCCTTCCTGTGTGCGTGTGCGTGTGCGTGATGTTATTCCACGCCCAGTCAGGACAGTGGGATCCAGAGTTCAGCCTCTGACATTGGCCCGTCTCCGGACCGACTTACGAGGCTTGGCAACCCGGACGGGTTTTCCACTGGCCAGCATTTTTCTGATAGTTCTGTTATGATGGTCCAATGTTATGTTACCCCTGACTTTCTCCCTCGCTGTCCTCCACTCTTCATCCTTAGTCATTACATTTACATTACATTTAGCAGACGCTCTTATCCAGAGAGACTCATGTAGTAATAACATAATTATATTACACATACTGTACAAGTAACTCGTTATTATTGTACTAAGCTAAGGGATTAATGAGTACACTTACTTTTTTTGCATTCTATTTTACTTACTGTAGAATTCTCATTATGACGTGTCATTGGAATACATTGTAGTCCAGTGAGCCAATTGGGTCTATCATTGTGGCAGTCGTCATTGATACACCCATGAGTGATTCATTGGTCTAGAGACTTCCCATGTTCGCCTCCCTCTGGAGTCACGGCCAATTAAATGGTTCGCTCTCAGACAACTATTCCACTGATTTACAGTGTGTTTAATCTACATGCATGTTCAATACAGCAATCGATGAGGATGACTGTCTGTCTTAGAAACCCATTGATTTGCTACACTCTCGAGCACTACTCTCATATTGTTAGGGCTCATTTTGCAATAGAGGGGCTTATAATGGAGTTGGTTGACCTTATGAAGGGCTTATGTAGACCTTATGAAGGGCTTATGTAGACCTTATGAAGGGTTTATGAAGGCTTCATTAAGCCCCTCATGTTTTGTTGGTTTTAGGTGGGTCAATGTTGTGCTATAGTAGGACCCCGTCCTGTAACAACACACATGTAAGGGATATTTATGGCTGACAGTGATTCTGTTTGCTTTCCTTCGTTCCACTATCACGTCCGGCTGTTTTGCTAAAATTCTAAAACTGCATTTCCCTCCGTCTATATTGTCCTCCACAGGGTTCCAGGCCTGTCACACATTTATCTCCACACAGCTGTGCCCATTTCCTCTATTTTTTCCTCTAGTTTCTGGCCCTGATTTTCAGTGTTTTCCTTGTCCTGCCACAGTTTTCCCCCTGGCTGCAATATTCTGATAGCCATTTGGCAGGTGACTCTGACCCTTCTGTCTGGAGAGGAGAGAAGAGAACTCTCTGGTGTCAGTGTTCTTGTTGTTCTTCATCCTCGTCATCATTAGTGTCTCGTTTTATCCGTGACTACACGGTTTGTGGTGTTCATAACTAACATGATGAAATATGACAGAGGTGTCAGACTGTTGTCATGCTCCCATTGAATTACTGTATGGTTCCAGTCGGCAGATTAGAGCTAGTTGATTAATGTAAATTGTCCAATTTTGATATTCCAGTGAGAAGTAAATAAATCATTTCTAATGTATTCTATTTTCTGTGTCACCTTACAGATGCTTTTGGAGTGTCATTGAGTACAAACACACATAAATACTTTCCTAGCCTTGATTATTAGGTTGCCGGGCAACCAGGCTACTAGGATATGCTAACGTTATGCTAAAGCCTATATAATTGATTTTGTAGTACAATAAAGTTACTTTAAGATGATTTGGACGTGAAGTGCGGAAAATGCTAATATAGGAAATATTGACTTGCATTGGATTGTGCCAAAAAAGCAAAAAGGTTAGCATTTGGAGACAGTGGCTAGGTAAACTAAAAGCATGGATTGCTGTCTTACCATGTCCATAGACTGCTTATAGGGTAAGGAAACCAATATGTCATGTTTTAATGTGGATCACTATCCCTTTAAGAGGGTGTTTGTATGTTATGTGTCCTAGGTGAACTATCCCTTTAAGAGGGTCTTTGTTTAAGTTTCAAGTTTTAATGTCACATGCACAAGTACAGTGAAATGCCTTTCTTGCAAACTCAAAACCCAACAATGCAATAATCAATAACAATGTATTACTAGAAAAAAACACATGAGAAATAAGAATAGGAAATATTAAATACACAATTATGTAAGTAAGCATACTATATACGGGAAATATTTAAAAAGTCAGTTCCAATACCATACAGTGAGGGAAAAAAGCATTTGATCCCCTGCTGATTTTGTACGTTTTCCCACTGACAAAGAAATGATCAGTCTATAATTTTAATGGTAGGTTTATTTGAACAGTGAGAGACAGAATAACAAAACAAAAATCCAGAAAAACGCATGTCAAAAATGTTATAAATTGATTTGCATTTTAATGAGGGAAATAAGTATTTGACCCCCTCTCAATCAGAAAGATTTCTGGCTCCCAGGTGTCTTTTATACAGGTAACGAGCTGAGATTAGGAGCACACTCTTAAAGGGAGTGCTCCTAATCTCAGTTTGTTACCTGTATAAAAGACACCTGTCCACAGAAGCAATCAATCAATCAGATTCCAAACTCTCCACCATGGCCAAGACCAAAGAGCTCTCCAAGGATGTCAGGGACAAGATTGTAGACCTACACAAGGCTGGAATGGGCTACAAGACCATCGCCAAGCAGCTTGGTGAGAAGGTGACAACAGTTGGTGCGATTATTCGCAACTACAAGAAACGTCTGACCTTTGTGATTGCCAACAAGGGTTTTGCCACCAAGTACTAAGTCATGTTTTGCAGAGGGGTCAAATACTTATTTCCCTCATTAAAATGCAAATCAATTTATAACATTTTTGACATGCGTTTTTCTGGATTTTTGTTGTTGTTATTCTGTCTCTCACTGTTCAAATAAACCTACCATTAAAATTATAGACTGATCATGTCTTTGTCAGTGGGCAAACGTACAAAATCAGCAGGGGATCAAATACTTTTTTCCATCACTGTATTTACATGTGCAGGGGATACTGGAGTGATGGAGGTAGATATGTATAGGGGTAAGGGGACTAGGCAACAGGATATAAGATAAACAGTGTAGCTGCAGCTTGTATGTGAGCGGGTGTGTAGAGTCAGTATAAATGTATGTGCAAATTATGGAGTTAGTGTTTGTGTGTGTGTTGGAGTGACAGTGTGTAGGGCCCTGTTAGTGTGGATAGAGACAGTGCAAGGATTGAAATAAAAGGTCAATAAAGATACAAGGTTAACTCAGATAGTCCATGTAGCTATTTTGTTAGCTATTTATCAGTCGTATTGCTTGGGGATAGAAGCTGTTCAAGAGCCTGTTGGTGTCAGACTTGATTAATCGGTACCTCTTGCCGTGCGGCAGCAGAGAAAATAGTCTATGGCTTGAGTGGTTGGAGTCTTTGACGATTTTCCGGACCTTCTTTTCACAGCGCCTGATATAGAGGTCCTGGATGGCAGGGAGCTCTGCCCCAGTGATGTACTGGGCTCTCCGCACAACCGTCTGTAGCACCATGCGATCGAGGGCGGTGTTATTGCCATACCAAGCAGTGATGCAGCCAGTCAATATGCCCTCAATGGTACAACTGTAGAACCTTTTGCCAAACTTTTTCAACCTCCTGAGGGGGAAGAGGCACTGTCGCGCCTTCTTCCCGACTGTGTGTGTGTTTGGACCATTTTAAGTCTTTAGTGATTTGGACACCGAGGAAGCTGTCGACCTGCTCCGCTGCCGCCCCGTCTATGTGGATGGGGATGTGCTCGCCCCCCCGTTTCCTGTAGTTCATAATCAGCTCCTTGGTCTTGCTGACGTTGAGGGAAAGGTTGTTGCTCCAGCACCACACTGCCAGGTCTCTGACCTCCTCCCAGTATGCTGACTCATCGTCGCCGGTGATCAGGCCTACCACCGTCATGTCGTCAGCGAACTTGATAATGGTGTTGGAGTCGTGCGTGGCCACACAGTTGTGGGTGAACAGGGAGTACAGGAGGGGACTAAGCACACACCCCTGTGGGACGCCTGTGTTAAGGGTCAGCGTGGCAGAGGTGATGTTGCCTACCCTCACCACCTGGGGTCGGCCCGTCAGGAAGTCTAGGATCCAGTTGCAGAGGGAGGTGTTCAGACCCAGAGTCCTATGCTTGGTGATGAGCTTGGAGGGGACAATGAACAGCATTCTCACATAGGTATCCCTCTTATCTAGGTGGATGAGGCCAGTGTGGAGAGCAATTGAGATTGCATCATCTATGGATCTGTTTGGGCGGTATGCAAATTGGAGTGGGTCTATGGTGGCTGGGATGGTGGAGTTAATGTGTGCCATAACCAGCCTCTCAAAGCACTTCATTATTACAGAAGTGAGTGCTACAGGGCGGTAGTCGTTGTGTTTATGTGTCCTGTGCAGAGTATGGAGGCCTGGGCCTGGACTTCAGCTACAGTATAGCCGTGTCAGAGGAGCTGGGCAACATCCGCTGTGGAGGCATCCCCATGGCCATCGGAGTCCAGACTGACATGGCCACACCTGCCCTGGCCAGGTAATGTATATACTGCACCCATCTGGCCCATAGCCATGCTATTTTCATTATGAGCCAATCAAGCAAGTAATTTCATTTGAATTTTTGTATAATATTTGATTAGAGGAAAATAAAAACATACGATCACATCGTTCCTCCCCCCTAATCCTTCAGAACATTCCCTTTTGACCCCCCTCCCTCTATCTCCCACCCCTACCCTTCCCAATGACATTTAATTTCTATGGTAAACTTAAAGTATGAAGAAAAAAATGTATGCACTCACTAATTGTAAGTCGCTCTGGATAAGAGAGTCTGCTAAATGACTAAAATGTAAAATGTAATGTAAACTTAATCAATTAGTCTCTGTTTCCCACTGACACGCACACACAAGAAACATTTGTAAAGTAAAGCTTTTGTGAAGACTTAGAGACCACCCACTCTTCTGAAATCTTAGTTTCAACATGCACACCAACAATCCAAAACTAGGACTTAGTGGCTTCAATAAGTAATCATTTACAGATGTTTAAATACTTTAGAATATATCATGTTGTTGATGATGAGTCAAGCAGCTGTATGCAGGCTATTCATTATACATAGCACTTTTTCTACTTGCCCAGAGTCAGATGAACTTATGGATTCCATTGTTATGTCTCTATGTGCAGTTTGAAAGAAGTTGAAGGTAGTTTTCAAGCTAACGCTAACTAGCGTTAGCGCAATGACTGGAAGTCTACCGAAACAGTTGCTTGAACAGCTCTTTAACCCCATTGTCTCTGTGTGTTGTGGTACTGTAGGTTTGGCTCTGAAGAGCTGAAGAAGGAGTTTCTGCTGCCCTCCATAATGGGAGACAAAGTGGCCTGTCTGGGAGTGAGTGAAGTGGGAGCCGGCTCAGATGTTGCTAGTACGTTGCCTTCATTTAGTATCCCACTAGTATGTTATTATGGCCTGACTTCTGCTCGCCCTAAAGCAGATTCTCAGTAAACACTCAACCACTCTGGGCCGGAAAAGGAGGCTCAATCTGTTTCTAATGCGGGTGACATCAAAGCACAAGCATGATTATAACACTCTTAACACTTATTTTTACTATTTTCTACATTGTAGAATAATAGTGAAGACATCAAAACTATGAAATAACACATATGGAATCATGTAGTAACCAAAAAAGTGTTAAACAAATCAAAATATATTTTATATTTGAGATTCTTCAAATAGCCACCCTTTGCCTTGATGACAACTTTACACACTCTTGGCATTCTCTCAACCAGTTTCACCTGGAATGTTTTTCCAACAGTCTTGAAGGAGTTCCCACAAATGCTGAGCACTTGTTGGCTGCTTTTCCTTCACTCTGCGGTCCGACTCATCCCAAACCATCTCAATTTGGTTGATGTCGGGTGATTGTGGAGGCCAGGTCATCAGATGCAGCACTCCATCACTCTCCTTCTTTGTAAAATAGCCCTTACACAGCCTGGAGGTGTGTTGGGTCATTGTCCTGTTGAAAAACAAATGATACAACAACTGATTGGCTCAAACTCCACAAATGTCTTGTTAACAAACTATAGTTTTGGCAAGTCGGTTAGGACATCTACTTTGCATGACACAAGTAATTTTTCCAACAATTGTTTACAGACAGATTATTTCACTTATAATTCACTGTATCACAATTCCAGTGGGTCAGAAGTTTACATACACTATGTTGACTGTGCCTTTAAACAGCTTGGAAAATTCCAGAAAATGATGTCATGGCTTTAGAAGCTTCTGATAGGCTAATTGACATCATTTTAGTCAATTGGAGGTGTACCTGTGGATGTATTTCAAGGCCTACCTTTAAACTCAGTGCCTCTTTGCTTGACATCATGGGAAAATCAAAAGAAATCAGCCAAGACCTCAGAAAAAAAATTGTAGACCTCCACAAGTCTGGTTCATCCTTGGGAGCAATTTCCAAACGCCTGAAGGTACCACGTTCATCTGTACAAACAATAGTACACAAGTATAAACACCATGGGACCACGCAGCCGTCATGCCGCTCAGGAAGGAGACGCGTTCTGGATCCTAGAGATTAACGTACTTTGGTGCGAAAAGTGCAAATCAATCCCAGAACAACAGCAATGGAGCTTGTGAAGATGCTGGAGGAAACAGGTACAAAAGTATCTATATCCACAGTAAAACGAGTCCTATATCGACATAACCTGAAAGGCCGCTCAGCAACGAAGAAGCCACTGCTCCAAAACCGCCATAAAAAAGCCAGACTACAGTTTGCAACTGCACATGGGGACAAAGATTGTACTTTTTGGAGAAATGTTCTCTGGTCTGATGAAACAGAAATAGAACTGTTTGGCCATATTGACCATCGTTATGTTTGGAGGAAAAAGGGGGTTACTTGCAATCCGAAGAACACCATCCCAACCGTGAAGCACGGGGGTGGCAGCATCATGCTGTGGGGGTGCTTTGCTGCAGGAGGGACTGGTGCACTTCACAAAATAGATGACATCATGAGGAAGGACAATTATGTGGATATATTGAAGCAACATCTCAAGACATCAGTCAGGAAGTTAAAGCTTGGTCGCAAATGGGTCTTTAAAATGGACAATGACCCCAAGCATACTTCCAAAGTTGTGGCAAAATGGCTTAAGGACAACAAAGTCAAGGTATTGGAGTGGCCATCACAAAGTCCTGACCTCAATCCTATAGGAAATGTGTGGGCAGACCTGAAAAAGCATGTGCGAGCAAGGAGGCCTACAAACCTGACTCAGTTACACCAGCTCTGTCAGGAGGAATGAGCCAAAATTCACCCAACTTATTGTGGGAAGCTTGTGGAAGGCTACCCGAAACGTTTGACCAAAGTTATACAATTTAAAGGCAATGCTACCAAATACTAATTGAGTGATGTAAACTTCTGACCCACTGGGAATGTGATGAAAGAAATAAAAGCTGAAATAAATCATTCTCTCTACTATTATTCTGACATTTCACATTCTTAAAATAAAGTGGTGATCCTAACTGACCTAAAACAGTGAAATTTTACTAGGATTAAATGTCAGGAATTGTGAAAAACTGAGTTTAAATGTATTTGGCTAAGGTGTATGTAAACTTCCGACTTCAACTGTATATACACAACCGTTCAAAAGTTTGGGGTCACTTAGAAATGTTTACGTCCATTTAAAATAACATCAAATTGATCAGAAATACAGTGTAGACATTGTTAATGTTGTAAATGGCTATTGTAGCTGGAAACGGCGGGGGCCTCTGTACGCCTATCTACATAGGCGTACAGATGCCCATTATCAGCAACCAGCAGTCCTGTGTTCCAATGGCACGTTGTGTTTGCTAATCCAAGTTTATCAATTTAAAAGGCTAATTGATCATTAGAAAACCCTTTTGCAATTACGTTAGCACAGCTGGAAACTGTTGTGCTGATTACAGAAGCAATAAAACTGGCCTTCTTGAGACTAGTTGAGTACCTAGAGCATCAGCAATTGTGGGTTCGATTACAGGATCAAAATGGCCAGAAACAAATAACTTTCTTCTGAAACTCGTCAGTCTATTCTTGTTCTGAGAAATGAAGGCTATTCCATGCGAGAAATTGCCAAGAAACTGAAGATCTCGTACAACGCTGTATTCTACTCCCTTCACAGAACAGCATAGGGTAGGGCAGTGTGAGCAGGACCAGCAGTGTCATTTGACTTAACAAACGAGGATCGGATGTCGTCAACCTTCTTTTCAAAATGGTTGACGAAGTCATCCACAGAGAAGGAGGAGGGTGGGGGAGGGGGAGGAGGATTCAGCAGGGAGGAGTAGGTGGCAAAGAGCTTCCTAGGGTTAGAGGCAGATGCTTGGAATTTAGAGTGGGTACTTCAAGATAAACAAGTTTTAACCAACATCTGGCAACCATCACTGGAGGACCCTCCCAACCGAGATGGTACCAGCCAGCACCCCAGACGGGACAGTACCTCTATAACTTAAATTCTAAGATAAATAACATAGGTTCCTTCGGACTTCCTGGCTCCCAGAGTGACATGATAAATGGATTGAACACATTCCCAAATCCTGTGTAAACACGAAATATCAATAAGGAAGTCAGTCAATTGAAATACATTCATTAGGCCCTAATCTATGGGTTTCACATGACTGGGCAGGTGCGCAGCCATGGGTGGGCCTGGGAGGGCATAGGCCCACCCACAGGGGAGCCAGGCCCAACCAATCAGAGTTTTTCCCCACAAAAGGGCTTTATTACAGACAGAAATACTCCTCAGTTTCATCAGCTGTCTAGGTGGCTGGTCTCAGATGATCCCGCAGGTGAAGAAGCCGTATGTGGAGGTTCTGGGCTGGCGTGGTTACACGTGGTCTGCGGTTGTGAGGCCGGTTGGACATACTGCCAAATTCTCTAAAACGACGTTGATATGCCACACCTGTCAGGTGGATGGATTATCTTGGCAAAGGGGAAATGCTCACTAAGAGGGATGTAAACAAATGTGTGCACAAAATTTGAAATAAATATGCTTTTTGTGCATTTTGAAAATGTCTGGATCTTTTATTTCAGCTCATGAAACATGGGACCAAAACTTTACATGTTGCTTTTATATTTTTGTTCGGTATAGTTGATGATCCCTGATCTATACTATAATCTGTCCTCATGGAAATTGTATCTCAAAACTACAACAGTGTTCCCCATAATGTGATTCCTTTCGGGCTGCGTGTTAAGACAGTTGTTTGGAAAATGTTGTTCTACAGAACAAGTCATATTTCTCTCTCTCGCTCCTCCAGCCATCAAGACGAACGCGGTGCGTAAAGGGGATGAGTATGTGGTGAACGGTGGTAAGATGTGGACCACCAACGGCACCCAGGCTGACTGGATGTGTCTCCTGGCCAACACCAGTGACGGTCCGTCTCACAAGAACAAGTCCCTCATCTGTCTGCCTATGAACTCTCCTGGTGAGACACAATTATATATACTTAGTCTACGAAAACTCTCCAATAGTCAATAGCTTCATCTCCAGTCATTGACCTTATGTTCTGAAGTTGAAAGCGGGCTAATGAAAGATTCTGTTAGAATTTGTGCTAATCTCCCTTTTTAGGGTTCAGTGCCTTGCTCAAGGGCACATCGACAGAGTTTTCACCTAGTCGGCTCTAGGATTCGAACCAGCGACCTTTCGGTTACTGGCCGGATGCTCTTAACCGCTAGGCTACCTGCCACTCTCCATCTCCCATTGACTTCAAATTGTGATCTATCAACTACAGATGATTATATTTATAGTCACATTTTAGTAATACCTCTGATTACTCACAGCATGTTCAGTGTTCTGTGCAGAAGACAATGTCCAAGACCAAGGTGTTATTATAATCTCCAGACAGTCATTTCACTCCACTGTGTTGTTATAATTAGTTAAGACTCATTCCATTAGAGAGCTACCAGATAGCCTCTGGTATCCCAGCCAAGACACACATGATGACGTCTCTCTCCGTTGTCTCCTTTCCCTCACAGGGGTTCACATCGCCCGCAAGATCGACAAGATGGGGATGTGGTCTTCCGACACGGCCGAGGTCTTCTTCGATGACGTGCGCGTGCCCTGCAAGAACCTCATTGGTCAGGAGGGGATGGGCTTCACTTATCAAATGCTTCAGTTCCAGGAAGAGAGACTTTGGGCGTGTGGCAACAGTAAGCAAACCTCTCCAATTCCATCGTGTTCCCTTCCTCTCTCCCTCTCTCCCTCCCCCACCCTCTCGCTCTCTCTCCTTCCTACCAATACTCTCTCTTTTGGTCTCTGGGGTTTTTTCGGTATTTCAGAGAATTTCTCAAAGAGAAACGTTATTATCTTGAAACGTAATTTGTCATCGAGTCATTCAAAAGGTTTCCGCATGTCAGCCAGTGTGAAGAAAAGGCCTTTAGCAAAGACATAAGCAGGAATATCTAATTGATGGTGACGTGAAGTTCTTGAAAGCTTCTTGCCCTGACTCATTATATCCCAGTTTATTTAGTCTGGGCTTGATAACAGTCAGTCTGAGTAGGTTGTTAGCCTTTAGAAAATAGGGTGCGTCACACGAACACACACACAGATACACGTACCCACACTGTTAAATCACTATATGCCTCCATCAGTTTGTATCATCCACCCACTTCCAAGTTAAACTAGTGACACACTTTGACCTCCAAGTTAAACTAGTGACACACTTTGAGGGGCAAAAAAAGGACATTAACTTCCTCACACAACAACTTGTTCACAGCCTCTGCCCACTCCACCATCTGTAACACAAACAACATCTATATAGACCTATTTCCTGGGCGCGCCATGAAAAGTTGCGCGTGCAGTTCGGAATCAGAAAGCTCTTTGTTTACCTAGCAGTGGATACGATCACACGCAACTTCAAATGCAGCTCATGCAAGTTAACAAACACGTAATCAGATGGTCATCGCAGATGTAATCAGAGGATTGATTACCTAGCAAGCCAGCCAGCCAAGTTAAAATATCAAAATTAGAGCTAGATAAAGCCAGAATAATAATATACTTGTTAAACATAACTATAGCCATCAGTCTTGCGTGTTTTCATGGTCATTACTCACTCACTGTTAAGTTTGCCAAGGTCCAGACTTTAGCGTTAGCTATCCTGCTACAGAGGTTTTTGGTGCAGGGATGCACAGTCACGCACAGTTGCTTGGAAACAAAAAACGTCTCTATACTACCGTTTATTCCCCTTCAGTTCTAACCATGATGGACAACATCATCCAGGAGACCATTCAGTACACCAGACAGAGGAAGATCTTCAAGATGCCTGTTCTCTACCACCAGTCAGTCCACTTCAGACTGGCCGAGCTGGAGACAGAGATCGAGCTGCTGCGCTCCCTCCTCCATCGCTCCACAGGTGGGTCTGCTCAGGATAAGATAATGACTGCATCCCAAACGGCACTCCATTCCCTATGTAGTGCATTACTTTTAACCAGGGCCCATAAAGCTATGGTCAATGTAGTGCACTACATAGGGAATAGGGTGCTATTTGGGATGCAGGCAATGACTGATTTCTATGGGGAAATGTTGTTTTCAGCTGGGCCTTGTGCATACATTAAGCATAAACACAGGACGTAAGACAGATACAAACCAGATACGTGTTTAGATACAAACCAGATACGTGTTGGATACAAACCAGATACGTGTTGGATACAAACCAGATACGTGTTAGATACAAACCAGATATGTGTTAGATACAAACCAGATACGTGTTAGGGAAGTTACTCTGAAAATATAGTTTACCATGCTACCAATTACTTCACACTGGAAGAAGTTAAGCTACACTAAAGCTACTCTTAAGAAAAATATAGTTTACTTAACTAAAGTTATTTTGAAAATGTATTTCAAACTACTTTGTGATAAATAATAATATATAAATCTGAAATATCATAGACTACAAATTGCAAGAACAGGTCTCTTTGGAGTCAGATGTTAACATAATGTTTAATTTAGCCTATTAAACACAAAAATATATGTTTCAAGTGAGAATTAGGAAGGTCTGATGCCAGAAAAAGAAAGGACATTCTTGCCTACTTTACCCATATTTTCTATGTTTTTTTCAGAAACAGTAGTGTGTCATTCCAGTAGTTAGCTGCACCGCTGCATGGCAAAAAAGTAATTAACACTAAAACACTACCAAGATTAGAATTTAGCTCAACTACCACCAAGCTACTACAAAATGGTGTTAAGTTACTAGTTGAACTACACTGCCAGATAAATACAATCAGTAAGTGCAGCCTATGTATGATTCATAATAATAAGATGTAAACTTTAACATCTAGGCCAGTAACACAACACATCTAATAATGGTCATTGTCAGGAGACTGGACACATCTGGCTGTTGTCCGGGTTCCATGGCCTTTGAGGGGGTTTAACTAATGCTCAACCACTTTACCAGACAGTAGCTTCAATGCACTAGTGCAGCTGTTAATTGCTTAATCAGATAGGGACTAGAGGCATCTGTTAGGCACATGTAGACAGTAGACAGACTGTGGCCACTGTACACGTCCCAATTCTCCCATTCTCTCCTCTAAACTGATCTGACATTAAAGATCAATGACAATAATATCAGTAAGTAATATCAGTTTAGGACTTAGGAAAGGAAACCAGCAAGGAGATTGTAGATACAGACTTAGAGCAGGGTGAGTGAAATGAAACAGCTTGTACACATCCTAAATCTTGGCATCAACCTCTTCCCTGCGTCTCCCCTCCCCAGCTCTGTACATCAAGGGCAACGATGTGACTAAGCTGGCGTCCATGGCTAAGCTGAAGGCAGGCCGTCTGTCCAGGGAGGTGGGGGACAGCTGCCTGCAGTACTGGGGAGGGATGGGCTATACCAGCGATGTCCTGGTCAGCAGGTTTTACAGGTGAGTGGAGAAGAAGAACTCTAAAAGAAGGTTCAAGACGGCAGCTTAATTCCCCTTGATGTTTATTGCTGACGCGTTTTGGAGCAAGCTCCTTCGTTAAAGCACTGAATAAACTTTGTGACACATTATGTAAAGGTTACAAGTTCTGCTTATAAACCTGTCATAAACATGACTAAATATTTAGTTTGCTAACCATTCATAAACTTTATATAATGTACATTTTATCATTCGTTCACATATTTACTAATGATGACTACATGTATAAACTATACTGAACAAAAATATAAACGCAGCATGCAACAATTTCTACGATTTTACTGAGTTACACTTCAAATAAGGAAATCAGTCAATTGAAATAAATTCATTAGGCCCTAACATATGGATTTCACATGCCTGGGAATACAGATATGCATCTGTTGGTCAAAGATACCTTTAAAAAAAGGTAGGGGCGTGGATCAGAACACCAGTCTGTATCTGCTGTGACCACAGTTTTCCTTATGCAGCGCGACACATCTCCTTCGCATAGAGTTGATCAGGCTGTTGATTGTGGCCTGTGGAATGTTGTCCCACTCCTCTTCAATGGCTGTGCAAAGATGCTGGATATTGGCGGGTACACATCGATCCAGAGCATCCCAAACATGCTCAATGGGTGACATGCCTGGTGAGTATGCAGGCCATGGAAGAACTGGGACATTTTCAGCTTCCAGGAATTGTGTACAGATCCTTGCGACATGGGGCCATGCATTATTATTAGTGATGGCGGCGGATGAATGGCACGACAATGGGCCTCAGGATCTCGTCACAGTATCTCTGTGCATTCAAATTGCCATCGATAAAATGCAATTTTGTTCGTTTTTCGTAGCTTATGCCTGCCCATACCATAACCACACAGCCACCATGGGGCACTCTGTTTATAACATTGACATCAGCAAACCGCTCACCCACACACCGCCATACACGTGCCAATTGCATGTTCATCTGTAAATTGCACATTTTTAGAGTTGCCTTTTATTGTCCCCAGCACCAGGTGCACCTATGTAATGATCATGCTGTTTAATCAGCGTCATTATATATCACAACTGTCAGGTGAATGGATTATCTTGGCAAATGAGAAATGCTCACTAACAGGGATGTAAACAAATTTGTGCACAACATTTGAGAGAAATAAGCTTTTTGTGCGTATGGAACATTTCTGGGATCTTTTATTTCAGCTCATGAAACATGGGACCAACACTTTACATGTTGCGTTTATATTTTTGCTCAGTGTATTATAAGGAAACTCAAAAGGAGTTTATTTAACCCACTGATATATGCTGTCCTTTCACTGATCAGATGATGCAGTTCAGACCTCTTACAGTAGTACACTAATCAACTACGGTTAATACTACTGTAGTCTAATTACAGCGACACCCAGTGATGTGGCAAATTAAGACATTATATGGGTTGCATCCCAAATGGCACCCTATTCCCTACATAGTGCACTACTTTGGCCAGCGCCTGAGGGTCAAGGGCAGGTCTCACTGTCACTGTCTGGGTCAGTTAAAAGGTCTCGGTTTCATCACTTCCCCTGAACCTTGCTATGTACAAATACTATGTGTATGCAGATGGATAGTGTAAGGAGGATATTCATGTACGGTAAGTTCATAACCAGTTGAGTCAATACAGTTAAGCAAAGGTGCTGTTTTTTCACTGCAAAGAGTTGACTTTCAATACTAGTTAATTACACGGACATTCTGGGTATTCAGATTGGTAATTTTGCTCAGGAAATTAAACTTAATTCATTCAGGCATCTAATCAGAAACGAGTCCCCATTGTCACACTTCATGGACAAAATACATGTGGCTTCCATGGTTTTTAAGAATGCGGCAGAGGCAATAGCTGTCACAGTGACCACAGTGTTCATTTGTGGATTTGCGCTTTTCTTTTTGGTTTAAATACGCAGAGACGCCAGGTTACTGTCCATTGGAGGAGGCGCTGATGAGGTCATGCTGTCGATCATCTGCAAGTACATGGACACCCTACCCAAGCCCCCACCCAAGAAGTGATGTCACAGTGCCAGTATTGCTTTCCCTTGTGCCGCACATCAATCCAGAACATTGTTCCCTTTCCTTTGCTTATCTATAATGACTGGATAGGTCGAAGTGATACCTCTACTTAGTTTCCGCCATATTGCTTACACCTATCCAGTCCATGAAGGGGAGTGAGCGAGGTCAGAAGGAACCAAACCATTTTCTGGAATTTAATGAACACATCACCAGAAGTGCAGTTTAAGATCTTAATTTATTCATCCATTTAACCACTATTCAGCCTGTTGCACTTAATGCATGTACTACACTACAGGGCTAGCCAGGAATGTTTTTTTTCTTCAAATAGGGCCTCCATGTTTCCATCCTGGGGAAACATGCCTAAGATTTCCTTCCATAAGATTCTTCAGTGTAACTTCAGTTCCATTAATTTCCTTACGACAATTGAAAACGTCAGTCCTACAGTAGATGTGAATGTGTGTATTCTTTTCACTGTGAAGTGAAGGAGGGGATTTGTAATCAATGTCTAAGATCAACTTTTGTCAGTACAGATTGTCAAATCTTTGTAGATAGTCGCAGGAATGCAATGAATAGTATGTACCGTTATGTAAAATAAACTAAATGCTATGTACCTCAACTGAGCCTGAACAATTGTTGAGAAAATAATCAAACTCTCTGGCGGGTCAAATTCAAAACATCCATGTTTATTTACATATAAAACAAATTTTTACATCAGTTGTTAACGGGAGAACAGTGTGCAGTGGTGGAGGTGAACAGTCTCTGTAGATGGGACAGGAAACGTCTTGAAGTGAGCGCGTACCCTAATAATTCATTCCTCAAAACAAATAAGATGTTTGTTTATAGTGGAACTCGATTGTTGGCCACTGTATGGATCAAATGTTAAATCAGTCTCACATTGGATCAAGCAACCTCTTCAAGAGCGTTACATCCCTGCCTTACACAGGAAGCGGCACAGGTCCTAATCCAGGCACTTGTCATCTCCCGTCTGGACTACTGCAACTCGCTGTTGGCTGGCCTCCCTGCCTGTGCCATTAAACCCCTACAACTCATCCAGAATGCCGCAGCCCGTCTGGTGTTCAACCTTCCCAAGTTCTCTCACGTCACCCCCCTCCTCCGCACACTCCACTGGCTTCCAGTTGAAGCTCGCATCCGCTACAAGACCATGGTGCTTGCCTATGGAGCAGTGAGGGGAACGGCACCTCTGTACCTTCAGGCTCTGATCAGTCCCTACACCCAAACGAGGGCATTGCGTTCATCCACCTCTGGCCTGCTGGCTCCCCTTCCTCTGCGGAAGCATAGCTCCCGCTCAGCCCAGTCAAAACTGTTCGCTGCTCTGGCACCCCAATGGTGGAACAAGCTCCCTCACGACGCCAGGACAGCGGAGTCACTCACCACCTTCCGGAGACATTTGAAACCCCACCTCTTTAAGGAATACCTGGGATAGGATAAAGTAATCCTTCTAACCCCCCCCCCCCCCAAATTGTAAAGTGGTTATCCCACTGGCTATAGGGTGAACGCACCAATTTGTGAGTCGCTCTGGCTAAGAGCGTCTGCTAAATGACGTTAATGTGCCCTTGAGCAAGGCACTTAACCCTAATTGCTCCTGTAAGTCGCTCTGGATAAGAGCGTCTGCTAAATGACTAAAATGTAAAATGTAAATGTAATCCAACTGTCACATGTGGGCTGCGTTTCGAGTAGACGGGCAGACCAATTCCCATATTTTTTCACTAATCAGCTCTGAGAAATGTGATTGGTCAATAGAACAATTAGTGGGAGAAATATCAGAATTGGGCTACCTGTGTAAACGCAGCGTGTCACATTTGTACAAATGTTACTGCTTAGCCTTACCAGATTTGTTGATGCAATAGATCACTCATCCTGTACATCTGCTACAAATCAACTTATATGCCTCATCGTTAAGGGACTCCGTAAGAAAGTGTTACATTACAATAGTAAACTTATGGCAGTGTCTACTCATTCCATCAGGGCTGTCTATAAAATTAATGTCAGACATTTTTTATTATTCCCTATTGCACATTGTTATTGATGATTTGGGGGGTCTTCTCAAACATTAAGCACATTCTAACAGTCTCATTGTCATCATCCTGGTCTTCTGATCCAGAGGTACACGCATGGCACAGACTGGGGAAGGAGACAAGGCAGGGAGGGAAAAGCCGGGCCTCCTGTAACGCATCACCTCAGTTTGATAAACCAGTACAGGATGGTGAAGACCAAGAGGCAGAAGAGCAGCATGTAGCACAGGAGCTTGGTCTGGCTTCCCCTGGAAAGCTGCTTCACTCTCCCTATGGTGGCCCCCAGCAAACCTCCCGTTGAGTCAAAGTCTGAGTCCTGTTAGGAGAAAAAGAACAAACCAATAAATCCAGTGACATGTTATGCTGCTCTGAAATTTGTAGTAGGGTAAATCCATTTGAATTCAATCGCTTTTTGACAGCACCCCTTATGATTCGAATGAACCCTTCCATACATATTTGCCCATTGTAGAAGTGCTCACAAAGTGACCTTTTGGACCTGAATGTCAAAACATTCAAGAGATAACGGGGCTCAAAGTTATATTTTGCATACCCCACCATAGCATGAGACATCCATGTCTTCATCACTGGAAAATATAAAATGGTTGAGAAAGAGTGTTGTCGAACTGTTTTTGAAATTAACTGAAAAATAATTATTTTTAATAACAATTTTAATTTAACCTTAAATCGTCTTATCTAAACGTGTCAACTCAGATTGTATTTTTTATATTAGTATATGGTGTAGCTTATACCCTATTTTACACCTGAGGTTTTAGTGTTTTGTTCCTGCCATTGGTTGAGACAACATGCTCTACAGGCTGGGTGTCATGTTTTGGCTGATAAATGTCCACACATCAGAGAATGTTGACCTGAATGGGAATATCTGTTTTAAAATGATACTGTCAAACCTCCATAGGAAACCTATTGAAATCATAGAAATATAGATAGAGTAGACATGACCATTTAAGTTAACATTCGACAGTGGGTGGACCGGCGGCCATCTTTGTGGTAGTAATTACAAGTTAAAATTTCAATGAATTATTATTGAAATGCACCCACTCTGTATTCAAGAGCATGTGTCTCAACCGATGGCAGGCACAACACAAAAACCTCAGATTATGTAAAGAACGGTCTAAAATGCAACATATGCGAATATGAAAACAGTTCGGTTTTTTTTATTTTATATAATTGACTTGAAAGGTTAGTTTTTATTCAAAAAATTTTTTTTCAATAAATAATAAAATAGTTTCACAACCCTGTTTATACGCTTTTAGATTGTAGCAAACTCAACCATTTATCTTTTCCAGTGATGAAGACATGGATGTCACATGATGGTATGGTATGCAAAATGGGTCAACTTTGAGCACCATCTCCTTAATGTTTTGGCATTCAGGTCCAAAAAGTCACTTTCTGAGCACTTCTACAATGGGCAAAAATGTATTGAAGGTTTTGTTCAAATCTAATGTGATGCTGTCAAAAGGTGATTGAACTCATATGGTTTTACCCTATAGCCTATCTGTTGAGCAATATTGTGACCTGTTATGGATGCAAACTCAGCTTTTAATGGATTGTGCAATCTGGTAGAAGAGGGTATAGATAAGGGAGATTTGTGTGAATGTTTCTTGAGTTGAGTAATTATGTAGAGTAGCCTATAGGAGTGGGTGATATTTGGGGAGACCTCTTCTACAATATGCTACTCCAAATATAGCAAAATACGATATAATCGTTTTGCGCCTTTAATGACAATCATTCCACACTGTGCAATTTTGGTGATTATTTACAATATTATAAAGTAGTCACATTCTCATTCAATAATATTTGTGGCAAGAATAAGCCTTAGTTCATTCATTTAGACTTCATGCTCAACATACTGATACAGCCTAACTAATAAAACTGCACAGTTTTGAATTTGTAAAGTTCGAACAGTCTTGATCAACACCATATATCGTCAATGTTAAAAACCACAATATTCAATTTAATCATATAGCTAGCTATGGGCCAAACCCTAGTAGCCTAGATGCTCATGACTGAAAATGTCACTTGCTTACCATATCGTCCAACATGTTTTTCTGGTACTTCACTTCCGTTCCAATATCTATAGACAGCTGTAGCAGGACAAACGTGAAATAAGGTTACCAAAGGAATTAATAACAACATGAGATAAAAGTTACTGTAGACCTTTGTGAACACGACATACTAACATGTTTCAAGGCGCTGACTTTGGCTCTCAGACCCTCTTGTAAGTGTTCATTTTCCTCTTCGTACGCGCTGTATCCACTGGCCACATAATTTCCAGGAGGTCCTCCTTCGCCTGTGTCACAATTAACAAACCCATTAAGCTACCTAGCTATGAAGGCCTGTCAGACAGAATTATTAGCTAGCTAGCTAAGACAGCTCGCTAGTTATAGCTAATACTGTCCTGATGACAATTTCCAATACAACTCCGTTATAATGTAGTAGCTAGCTATATTCTGTAGCTTTCTAACATTAAATATATACTGTTAGCTAGCTAACTAGCCTGCTAACTTTAGCCATTGAATGAGCGTCATCTATTTAAAACGGGGGGCTCTTACCCAAACCTGCTCGTCTCATGTTCCTTTATTCAATCAAAAGATCCTAACTGTAACACTTAGGTGATAATGCGTATCAAAGCAGCAGTAGTTTTGTTGGTAGATAGTTTGCTAGCTAGCAACCTAACGTTAATTCAGCAGGAGAAGAAACGCCACGACATCGTACGGGAACGTGATAAGGCAAATGTTTACATGGACGACTCCGCCCACTCACGGCATGGGTAAAGTTACATCAAAGAGGTTTTGGTGACATTTTTAATAGCTAGCTCAACTCATCCGAGAGCAATGATAACAAAAAAAATGAAATTAATTGCCATCTCCAATCAATAGTTCATCACAGGGAGTGCAGCAGATTTAATTTCAAATGTACAAAGGGGCATCATAGGCTGCGTTTCGACAGGAAGCTCAATTCTGTCTATTTTTCAGTAATTGGTATTTTGACCAATCAGACCAGATTTGAAAAAGCTCTGACGTGAAAATATGTGACGTGATTGCTCAAAAGACCAATTAGTGGGAAAATATGTGTAATAAGCATGGTGATTATAACCATTACAGGTTTCTGCCATTGTTCATGCAAAATATAAAATCACCTGCACACTCATGATTAGTCTGCTTGGTAATTTGGCAAACAGAACAAAGTGTGGTGTCCAAGTCAACGTTGCTAATTATGCTGTGATGATAAGAAGTCGCTTACACTGTTCTTTGATTATAAAGATTTATTGTATCAAAGTCCACAGTATTAATTTACAGATATCTGCAGTTATTTCCTAAGGATGCAAATTTCAATCCAAGATGGCGAAGTAGTGCAGTCCTGTTATTGTCGTGTGTCTGTAAATAGACTGTAAATACCTTGTTTATTTTGTATTTTTCGTACCTATTTCCCTATCAGACTTTTCATCCTTCTACAAAATATACTTTCCTGCAACCCGCCTCACTCAATGTGGAACGGATTCTATTATTGACTTACCTTTTATCTAGAATCTCCAGTGAAACTAGCTAGCCAGCTAGCCAGCTAACTAGCTACTTGCTATTAGCCTTAGCTAGCGGTGTTTCACCCAGAACATTGGATTTTTTTCTGCGGGATTAATTTTAATCACTGGACATTGATCACCGGATATTCGGCCAGTCTGCACAGCGCGTTATCGACCCAGAACATATCAGTTTTTCCGCTGGAATCACTGAATCACTGGACCTTTAACTCCGGATTCGTTGCTACCAGCTAGCTACAACAAAACGGACACTGTGGTCTGGCTAATTATCCTGAGCTAGGCCCATCTCCCGGCTATCTACCTCTCTGTCAACCGGACGGGACCACCTAGTATTGACACGGAGCCCCGCCGATCCTACACGACTGGTCTGCCGACGAAATCGTCTGATGTGGTTACGACGTTAACCACGAAGATTCCATCCATCTGCTAGCCCTGGCCCGCTAGCACACGCTAGCCATAGCCTCTTACTATTGCTTCACCACCGGACCTTATGATAACTCAGCTATACAGCTGATATCTGCTGGACTGTTCCTTTTTACGGTACTACATCCTGTTTATGTTTAGCCTCAGCCCAAACATGGTTAGTTTATTGTTGTTTCGGTTATTTCTAATTGTACTATATCACTGTAGACCCCCCAGCCTAGCTAAACCTGCCTTAGTTAGCTCCTTCGCACCTCCCCCTATACACGCGGAGACCGACTCAATTGATGACTCTAGCGATGCTATCTCTTTCATAGTTACCCAACGCTTAGGGTTACCTCCACTTTACTCATATCCTTCCATATCCTTGTCTGTACATAATGCCCTGAATCTTTTCTATAACACCCGGAAATCTGCCCCCTTTATTCTATGTACCCAACGCACTAGAAGACCAGTTCTTAAAGCCTTTAGCCGTATCCTTATTCTAGTCCTCCTCTGTTCCTCTGGTGATGTAGAGGCTAACCCAGGCCCTGCAGCCCTCAGTATCACTCCTACTCCCCAGGCGCTATCATTTGATGACTTCTGTAATCGCAAAAGTCTTGGTTTCTTGCACATAAATATCAGAAGTCTACTTCCTAAGTTTGAGTTATTCACTGCGTTAGCACACTCTGCCAACCCTGATGTTCTAGCAGTGTCTGAATCCTGGCTCAGGAAGGCCACCAAAAATTCTGAAATTTCCATCCCTAACTATAACATTTTCCGTCTAGATAGAACTGCCAAAGGGGGTGGAGTTGCAATCTACTGTAGAGATAGCCTGCAGAGCTCTATCATACTATCCAGGTCTGTGCCCAAACAGTTTGAGCTTCTACTTCTAAAAATCCACCTTTCCAGAAATAAGTCTCTCACTGTTGCCGCTTGCTACAGACCCCCCTCAGCCCCCAGCTGTGCCCTGGACACCATATGTGAATTGATTGCCCCCCATTTATCCTCAGAGTTTGTACTGCTTGGTGACCTAAATTGGGATATGCTTAATACCCCAGCCATCCTACAATCCAAGCTAGATGCCCTCAACCTCACGCAAATTATCAACGAACCTACCAGGTACAACCCTAAATCCGTAAACATGGGTACCCTCATAGATATCATCCTGACTAACATACCCTCTAAATACACCTCAGCTGTCTTCAACCAGGATCTCAGCGATCACTGCCTTATTGCCTGCGTCCGTAACGGGTCCGCGGTCAAACGACCACCCCTCATCACTGTCAAACGCTCCCTAAAACACTTTAGCGAGGAGGCCTTCCTAATTGACCTGGCCCAGGTATCCTGGATGGATATAGATCTCATTCCGTCAGTAGAGGATGCCTGGTTGTTCCTTAAAAGTAATTTCCTCTCAATCTTAAATAAACATGCCCCATTCAAAAAATACAGAACTAAGAACCGATATAGCCCCTGGTTCTCCTCAGACTTGACTGCCCTTGACCAGCACAAAAACATCCTGTGGCGTACAGCATTAGCATCAAATAGCCCCCGCGATATGCAACTTTTCAGGGAAGTTAGGAACCAATATACACAAGCAGTCAGGAAAGCAAAGGCTAACTTTTTCAAACAGAAATTTGCATCCTGTAGCACTAACTCCAAAAAGTTTTGGGACACTGTAAAGTCCATGGAGAATAAGAGCACTTCCTCCCAGCTGCCCACTGCACTGAGGCTAGGAAACACTATCACCACCGATAAATCTACAATAATCGAGAATTTCAACAAGCATTTTGCTACAGCTGGCCATGCTTTCCATCTGGCTACCACTAACCCGGCCACCAACTCTGCACCCTCTGCTGCAACTTGCCCATGCCCCCCCCCCCCCCGCTTCTCCTTCACACAAATTCAGACAGCTGATGTTTTGAAAGCGCTGCAAAATCTGGACCCCTACAAATCAGCTGGGCTAGACAATCTGGACCCTTTCTTTCTAAAACTAGCCGCTGAAATTGTCGCTACCCCTATTACTAGTCTGTTTAACCTCTCTTTCATAACGTCTGAGATCCCCAGAGATTGGAAAGCTGCCGCGGTCATCCCCCTCTTCAAAGGGGGTGACACTCTAGATCCAAACTGCTACAGACCTATATCCATCCTGCCCTGCCTTTCGAAAGTATTCGAAAGCCAAGTTAACAAACAGATCATCGACCATTTCGAATACCACCGTACCTTCTCCGCTATGCAATCCGGTTTCCGAGCTGGTCACGGGTGCACTTCAGCCACGCTCAAGGTCCTAAACGATATTATAACCGCGATTGATAATAGACAGTACTGTGCAGCCGTCTTCATTGACCTGGCCAAGGCTTTCGACTCTGTCAACCACCGCATTCTTATTGGCAGACTAAATAGCCTTGGTTTCTCAAATGACTGCCTCGCCTGGTTCACCAACTACTTCTCAGATAGAGTTCAGTGTGTCAAATCGGAGGGCCTGTTGTCTGGACCTATGGCAGTCTCTATGGGGGTGCCACAGGGTTCAATTATTGGGCCGACACTTTTCTCCGTGTATATCAATGATGTCGCTCTTGCTGCTGGTGACTCTCAGATTCACCTCTACGCAGACGACACCATTTTGTATACATCTGGCCCTTCATTGGACACTGTGTTAACAAACCTCCAAACGAGCTTCAATGCCATACAACAATCCTTCAGTAGCCTCCAACTGCTCTTAAACACTAGTAAAACTAAATGCATGCTTTTCAATCGAACGCTGCTGGCACCCGCCCACCCGACTAGAATCACCACTCTCGACGGGTCTGACCTAGAGTATGTGGACAACTACAAATACCTAGGTGTCTGGTTAGACTGTAAACTCAACTTCCAGACTCACATAAAGAATCTCCAATCCAAAGTTAAATCTAGAATCGGCTTCCTATTTCGCAATAAAGCCTCCTTCACTCATGCTGCCAAACATGCCCTCGTAAAACTGACTATCCTACCGATCCTTGACTTCGGCGATGTCATTTACAAAATAGCCTCCAACACTCTACTCAGCAAATTGGATGTAGTCTATCACAGTGCCATCCGTTTTGTCTCCAAAGCCCCATACACTACCCACCACTGTGACCTGTACGCTCTTGTTGGCTGGTCCTCACTACATGTTCGTCGTCAAACCCACTGGCTCCAGGCCATCTATAAATCACTGCTAGGCAAATCCCCGCCTTATCTTAGCTCATTGGTCACCATAGCAGCACCCACCCGTAGTCTGCGCTCCAGCAGGTATATCTCACTGGTCATTCCCAAAGCCAACACCTCCTTTGGCCGCCATTCCTTCCAGTTCTCTGCTGCCAATGACTGGAACGAATTGCAAAAATCTCTGAAGCTGGAGACTCTTATCTCCCTCAATAACTTTAAGCATCAGTTGTCAGAGCACCTTACCGATCACTGCACCTGTACACAGCCCATCCGAAATTAGCCCACCCAACTACCTCATCCCTATATTGTTATTTATTTTGCTCTTTTGCACCCCAGTATCTCTATTTGCACATAATCTCTTGCACATCTAGCATTCCAGTGTTAATACTATTGTAATTATTCTGCACTATAGCCTATTTATTGCCTTACCTCCATAACTTGCTACATTTGCACACACTGTATATATATTTTCTGTTGTATTTCTGACTTTATGTTTTTTTTTACCCCATATGTAACTCTGTGTTGTTTTTATTGCACTACTTTGCTTTATCTTGGCCAGGTCGCAGTTGTAAATGAGAACCTGTTCTCAACTGGCTTACCTGGTTAAATAAAGGTGAAATAAAAAAAATAAAAAAATATCTGGAGAGAAACGCC